CCTTTGTTTCCACTTCTTTCAAGGGTGAAGAGCCCAGAATGTGAGCACAAAGGGCGCCCCTGCGGCCTGCCCTACTTTGAGGAGTGGCCCACAGCGGGAGAGGAGCTGAGCAGGGCACAGCCTCGGTCAGGTCAGGGCCGCTGGGGCGGGCGGGCGCTCGCAGGCCTGCGCCCTGTGTGGATGCGCTTTGTGTGGTGAATGAGAGGCCACCCCAGCCCGTCCCAGGGAGCGCCAGCCCCAGAGCCACCCCAGGAAACGGGCCAAGAAGCGGGGACTCACCGGCCACAGACAGACTCCAGCGCTAAAGGACCCGGTTTGCAGTGTGCGTTGTGCGGCCGCCTCGGGCTGGGGGCGGTTCAGCAGGTATCTCTCCTCCTGGGGTGGCTCAAGGGCACACGAGGAGGCGGGGCTCACCTGCGCAGAGTGAGGGTGGCAGTGACACCACGCGGGCGCTGGCTGGGGAGCCAGGCAGTTGACCTTGCTGTTGGGCGATGCAGGAATTACCAGAACTTAGTCGCGGTGTTCAGGACCCCCGGAGCTGTTGGGGAGCGCTGGCTTAGTCACGCCCACCCCTTCTGCCAGCTCCAGGCCGGGCACACCCTGCGGGGCAGCTTCCCCAGGGGCTGTCCTGACGCTGATGCAGAAGCGTTTCCTCTTCTTCGGGGCATCTGGGAGCCGCCAGGCCCCTCTGGGTGAGAAGAGGGTCAGGGGCTGGTGTCTCCCGAGAAAGCAGGAAATCCTCTTTGGTGACATAGAGGTGAAGCTACCTTGTCCTCAGTCACACCGCGCTGACTGTGGATGGGCCGGGCTCTCCGGGCACCCACCGGAACTGGCCGGGAGCGAGTGGCCGAGGGGCGGGCAGGTCCTCACTGCTGCTGGGGAGAGGCCTCAGCGCTGCTGTCAGAGAGCCGTTGCGCAGCAGGGGTCAGAGCTGCACGTCCCTTCGGGCCTATGCTGTTGTGTTAACATGCGCACGAGTTCACGGCATCGGCGCTGCTTTTGCAAGTAGCTTTGCTTTTCCAGGAACGGCAGATTCGGGAAATTTTTATCAAAAGTCTTGAATGGTACCTTTTCAGCTGCCTACTGTACAGGGGTACCCTTTTCTTTTTCTTTCTTTCTTTTAAAGATTTATTTATTTATGCACACAAGAACGGGGGTGCAGAGCAGAGGTGCGGGGGCTGGTGAGGATTCACCAGACACAGAGTGGGGAGCAGAACAGGCGGAGCGACTGCGATACACTGAGGGGTGCAACGGCTGGCTCAGGAGTTGTCTGCTGCGCCCTGAGGGTCAGTCCCTGACCTGGGATCGAACTCGTGCTGCAGTGGCTGCAGACAGCTTCATAGTGCTGTGCTGTAACCCGCTGCGCCACCAGGAAGGCCCCCTCTTTATCTTCTCTAATCACTGTCACCCCTAAGGTAGCCACACCCCCCGCCCCAGCTTTCCTGCACATCCTTCCAGGCATTTTATAATACGTCCAGTGTGCTGGACACAATCAAGCACTGAGCAGGGCCTGAAACATACAGATGCTCAATTAATACCTTTACATGAATAAATGGTTTTGACTGGGTTGCTTTATTAAAATTACATATATTTAAATTGATGTCATTTTTTCTGTGTCTGGCTTTTATCACTCACTGTGTCTGGGTAATCTCTCCATAGAGATTTAATTAATATCTTCATTGACGAAAATAGTTCTCCACTTACATTAATTTTACCCTCCCCCCACCCAACGTCTCTTATATCTCCTGCCCCTTTCCCTCCCCTCCACAACTTAACATCAGAATCCTCAGGCTATTTATTGATGTCCACTGATTTTTAAAAGTATTTTACGTTTTCAAATTGTCTGTGTAAGTGTCCCGGATGGTTTTTATTGTTCCGACTAACTTTGCTGTACATAGTTCTCTCAAATTCCCTCCATTATGTTGAAAATGGCTGCCTCTCATCCTTTGTCCTGACTGAGTAGTATTCCGTCGTGTGCTTACTCCGCATCTTGATGTAACGTGTGTTGACTGACTAGGCTGCTTCCAGACCCCGCGTTGTGACCAGTGCTGCCGTGGATGCTTCAGTGCAGGGTTCTGTTTAGATGGTTTCCTGTTCTGTGAATAGATGCTCAGAGCCCACAGGCTGCTATTTCTGCCACATTCTACTGAGCACAGCAAGCCCCAAGGCCAAGTGCCTACTCACCAGGTAGCTATGTGGGGCAGCTGGCTGGGCCTCCCTCGTGGTAGCCCTAGGAAGAGGCCGGAAGTCGGCAGGCCTCCAGCGTCAGGAAGGCCCTGTCTCTGTTCTGCGGCAGGACCCACCCTCACCTGGCTCAATTTCTCAGACACACGAGCCTCGTTTCAAGGACGCATAGGTGGCCAGTGGCTACCTCTCTGACAGATGGAGCTGGGACCCTCTGTCATTGCAGAAAATTCCACCTTCCCTCACAGTTTCTTCCAGTCTCTGCCTCTTCTGTGGAAATCTCCCTTCACCACCTCCCATTAATCAGGCCTCAGGTCCTGTGGGCCGGACTCCACCACATCCTACACCACCCGGTGTGCAAACGGAGTGTTGGACTTCCCGCACCAAGTCTGGGGGAACCCAGGGTCACCCCCCAGCACAGCAAGCCCAGCTCTTCTTTCATCACGGGCTTACTAGAGCACAAGCTTGCTCTACTAGCTCAGGCTAGGAGGCAAAGCCCTGTAAGGGGAGAGGAGAAAGCCCCCCTTTCTCCTTCTAATTCATTGTCATTCTGGTGGCAAGAATGCCTTGTGGTGGCAAGACAGCTCCCAGTCTCCCCAGGGCTCTGGCTGGAGTCTCAGCCTTGCCCACTCCTAGAAACAGAGAGACCCAGTGCTGTAGCTGGGAAGGTCTGCACAAGCTCCTGGCTCAGCCTTTTCACTTGCCTCAGGGAGGCAGCTCCAGAGGCAAAGTCTTTGCCAGAGATCACAGAGCGGAGTGTCGTTATTAGCAGGAATAAATCCTACTAAGCCAACTAGGCCTGGGTGTTTTAAGACCACACATCAATATTTAAACGGACCACAGGTTTTTTAGGTTTTTTTTTTTAACAACTTCAGATTCGGTTCTGAAGCTCAGAGAGGTTAGGTGATTTACCTAAGGCCACACAGCCATCCAGGGGCAGAGTTAGGACACAAACCATTGCCTGATTTTAGTTTGCAAGAGAGTTGCTGTGCATAGAGTGACCCTTCGGCCATGTCGCTGGAGGTGAGGGTTTGGGAGCCAGGCCAGGTGGGGGAAGAAGCAGGAGAGATGCACACAAGGCCTTATCCTGCCCAGTGGGATGGCCATCGCTTGCGTGTCTGTGACTGGGTTTTTCAATTCTCATCTAAGAAGTTCTCATGTGTGAGAAGAGCTTACTGAACTTTGGGCTGGAAGGTAGATTTTTAAAAAAGTAATAGTTTATTTTTACATCATTTTGTTCCTTTTTCCATCTCAGCTGCAATCCCCATGGGCTTCTCACCACCACATCACCCGTGTGCCATCACCATAGTCCCGTGCACTCCCCCCCGCCCCCATTTTTTTTTAAAGATTTATTTATTTGTGCATACAGAACTGGGGTACAGGCCAGAGATGCAGAGGGTGAGAGGATTCACCAGAGACAGAGTGGGGAGCAGAACAGGCAGGTGGATGAAGCACACTGCTGAGGGGAGCAGCGGGTGGGTCAGGAGAGGTCTGCTGCGCCCTGTGGTCACCTCCGGGGCAGGCGGGATCGAGCTCATGCGGAAGTGGCTTTAGCTTCTCAGTGCTGTGCTTTAACCTGCTGCGCCACCAGGGAGGGCCTGCACACCATTTTTAATCCCATTCCCCATTCCATCCCTGTAAAATGTCTCTGGTAAATAGTTGTTCATCATTATTATTTTTTTCCCCTGGTCCTTTATGCTCCTGCTATGAGTGAAACCATCTGGTATTTTTCTTTCTCTTTCTGGCTTATTTCACTGAGCGTGATCCCTGGAAGGTAGATTTTTAGCTCCCAAGTTTCTGCCTCTAAACTCTGGTTCCGATTTTTGAGGCAGCTTTCGCCCCCTGGTGGCGTCTGAGCTGGCCAAAGGCGCCTGCTCGCAGCTGGACCCTTCCTCTCTCCTAGGGACTTGGCTTTCAAACCAAAACTGGCCCAGTCAGCCTGTGGTGGAAACAGACTCGGACTTGGGCTCGCTGTTGTTGCTCCCTTCTCCCCCCACGCGGGGAGCACGGCAGGGACCCTGTTGTGGCAGGGAGGTTTTCAGGCTGGAGTACTTTTGGGGTGTAGCCCCCCATCTCTGCATCCAGGGCCCCCAGGACGCCTGTTGGGTGGGAGCTGAGTTGCTGAGGGCACAAGACCAGCCTCCCCCCTGTGGGAACCCCACCTGTGAGCTGCGCCCCACCAGCCTGCACCTACAGGGCCACCGTCCCTCCTCAGCCGCAGATGCTCAGGCAAAGCTGGTGCTCCCGCTGCAGCATGATGTTCCCACTGGCGCTCCTGAGTGTGCAAAATGAGGGCTGGACGCGGGGTGCTTGGGGATCAGTGCCTGGCAGATGGATTCATGACTCAGTCCACCCTCGAATGACACCTATGTGGGTGCGATGGTTTGGATGTGCCTCCCCCCACCCCGAGTTCAGTGTGAACCCCCAAAGTGATGGTATGAAGAGGGAGGGGGCTGTGAAGCGACCATGGCTGGTGCCCAGCCTAGAATGGGATCAGTGCTCATAGCTAAGGCCCCAGGAACCTGCTCAGTTCTGCCCCAGGGGGAGCAGGCCCACCAGACCCCACCCCAAAGGCCGACATCTGGACCTTGGCCTTCCAGCCCCGGAAGTGCGAGGGGACATGTCCACTGTCTGAAGGCTGTGGGTTTTGCGGTAGCGCCCGAGCAGACTAAGAGAGCGGGGCAGAGGGCTGAGGGTCGCTCTGGTAGCTGAGAAAGGCAGCAGGATACTTGAGCGTCCCTTTTGTGTCGTTTTATTTTTCTTTATACACACTAGGGTGGTAGATTAGAAAAAATTGCACAGATTCTTCTGGAAACTCAAGATGACGGGAAGATGAATGAAAAGCTTGCATAGATTGGGGACCCCACAGTTTGGATTTTCAAGACCTAAAAAAGAAAACAGAAGAGGGTTTCAGAAGGGAGAGACAGAGCCTCACCTGGGCAGGGCATCTTCTCAGTGCTGCCAGTTAGCTTCATCTGGGGAAGGTTTGGGAAAGAAACTTCTGAAAAGGTGATGCACTTTAAAAAGTGCACAGACCTTAGGGCACAGCTTAGTGAATTTTTGCAAGTAAACAGCACCCTGGTGATGATAAGGAACATTTCTGGCACCAGTGAAATCTTCAGAACTCACAAATCCAGCCTCCTCCACTCCCACCTCCACAAAGAAAATTGCTGTTCTGATTTAGGAGAGCTAACTTGGGAAGACTTTGAAAAAGACTGCTATCTGGACCCCCAAAGAGACCCTTAGACTCAGAACTGGGTGGCCTCAGGCCTGGGGCCTTAGCAAATACAGCCGAACCTGGGGGGCTCGCCCACAGTGCACTCCCTGGGGGGACCCCTGGGTTTCCATCCTGGAATTCACAGCCCAGGGGTCCTCCAGGACAGAGGCTTTCTAGCAAATTCTGGATGGCACCATCAGAAGCCAGGTGCAGTGAGAACCTACCTGGCCGCTGTGGGCCCCTGCCCCTGACCAGGTCAGCACCCGCGGGTGAGCCCGTGGGAGGCGGTGGTGGGGCCCTGGATTTCGCGGGGGTGGCTGGTGACGCTCAGGCAAGAGTGGGGGTGGTGGAGGCACCCTTTGACCCTTGTGAAATGGATCTGGTGGGACCCCGCTTCCTGGAAGCTCCCCTTTTCATCCTCGGAGCTTCGTGTCTGCTGAGCGTTAATTGGAGCTGAGCTGATTCCCCAAAGGTCACTGGGAAGTTGGAGCCAGAGCCCCCAGTGGCTGGAGCAGGGCCAGGACAAAGAGGAAACAGCCCCGGAGAGAGAAGGGGCCCGCTCACGTGGCTTTTGGAGAACGGCTTGACGAACCCAAACTTCTGCGTGATCTCGTTGGTCCCGAACTCCTGCCACCCGCCGCCCACCTGCGCCTGCGCCGCGATCTTGTACTTGACCAGGCGCTCGGCTCGCAGGCTGACGGGGCTGAGCTCCCAGTCGTCGGCCGGTGACTCCACGTCCGTGTGCCGTTTCCTCTGCAAGGGGTGCGGTCCCCAGCCAGGCGACCCAGAGTGAGGAAAGCGGGCTCCCCACACGTGACCCCTCTGAGTGATGAGAGCAGAGCGCCAGAGGGTGTCTCCCTGGGCCCCGTTTCTGGAGCTTGGCGGCTGCTGAGCCAGAGGGCACCTGGGCCCTGAACCCACCAAACCAGTGCCCGAGGCAGTGGGGTTCAGTGAACCTTGGAAAATGTCAGTAAACAGAGGGGCCTCCCTGGTGTCCCGGAGGGTTAGAGCCAAAGCCACTTCAGCATGAGCTGGATTGGCCCCCCGGGAGGTGACCACAGGGCGTGGCAGACCTCTCCTGCCCTGCCCGCTGCTCCCCTCAGCAGTGTGCTTGGTCAGTCAGCCTGTTCTGCTCCCTACTGTGTCTCTAGGGTACAGGCCAGAGGGGCAGGGGCAGTGAGAGACTTCACCAGAGACACAGTGGGGAGCAGAACAGGCAGATCCACACATTACACTGCTGAGGGAGCAGCGGGCAGGTCAGGAGCGGTCTGCCGCGCCCTGTGGATCACGTTCGGGGCGGGGATCAAACTCGCACTGAAGTGGCTGCAGCTGGCTCACAGTGCCGCATCCTAACCCATTGCGCCACCAGGGAAGTCCCCCTAAAAAATAAATCTTTAAAAAAAATGCATTCTTTTAAAAAAAAAATGTGATTTGGTGATGGGAAGCCCAAGGGGATTGCAACTGAGATGGAAAAATGCACAAAAATATATAAAAATAAACTACTATAAAATTAAAAAAAAAAAATGCCAGTAAGCAGAGCTGCATGGAAGAGGGAGGTCTCATCACCTCCTGGGATTTAATGCCAGAAGTGTTCACTGAGTGCGCACATAACTCAGCTCTCCCAGCCAGTGAAATCCATCCTGGAGGGAAAAGCCTGAGGCCCGAAGACAGAGACGTCACCCAGGAAGAGCGTGCCTCGCCCAAGGGCATCTCACCGGGAGAGGAGGCCGCAGGAAGCTCAGGCTTCATGGGGGTGTGTCCATGGCAAACCAGTAGGGGGTACTCAGGATACATGTGGGGATCCCTGGGGCCCCCATACTGTGATTGGCAAAGAAGAGGGTTTCTCAAGGAGCTTGACAACTTAGACACTTTAAGAAGCCAAAGTTCATTAAGAATCCGCGTTTAACAGGTCGCTAGTCAATGGCCATAGTGACTCGAATCTAAAAGGCTTTCGGAAACACACCTTTCCTTACCTGCATGCAGAAACTGTAAGCGGTCGCGTTGTGCTTGATGCCCTTGATCTCAAAGAGGAACCCGTATATGGTGATCACCTTTGAATGGGTCGTGTACTCCTACATTGGGGACGGTGACAATGTGACAGGAAGGACACACGTCAGCCGGGGGCAGAGCGCCTCAGTTGCCAGCTGCAGCCAAAGCGACTCCTCACACAACGGATTCTTTTTTAATCTAGTTTTTTTTCCTTTTTTGTGTAGACGAACCGGGGTGTGGGCCAGAGGTGCAGGGGGTGATTCATCAGAGACAGGTGGGAGCAGAATGGGTGGGTTGACTGAAACACACTGCTGAGGGGAGCAGTGGGGAGACAGGAGAGGTCCGCTGCGCCCTGGGGGTCCCTCCCTGGTGGGGATCGGATGGAGCTTAGACTGTCATGGTGATAGTGCTGAGACTTAACCCCTAGGCCACCAGGGCAGCCCCAACAACTGATTTCAAACACAACCAGCACCACTAGTCTTGGGCATGAGGAAAGCCAGATTTTAGGGACATCACCTGTCTTTACAGGTTAGTGGTCAGTGATGGCCCCCATGGACTCCACTTGCGCTTACTGGGAGGAGGGTGAGTAGGCAGGTCCTTAGGTGATGACGGGGTTTGGGGGGTGCAGGCCTTGGGGACAAAGCTCCACTGTGATGGGTAGACACCCCTGGGACCCCAAGGTGTCCTGGCCTCACATCGCCAGTCTGTCCACTGCAGCAGGTCATCAAGGCTGGACCCTACCCAAGGCCCCACCTGGAGGGGAATCTCTGATGATAGATTCAGACCCCCCCAAACCTTGAAGCCATGAATACCTTTGAGATGACTACTGGGGTGATTTTCAGAAAGTCAAGGACAGCAGTTTCCTGCAGAACTCTGCCCGCCACAGGGACCCCAAGACAGCGCAATCTGTTGCCCTCTCCAGCAGCGGAGAGGGCCCGCAGCCCAGCCCTGCCCCCTCTGCCTTGGTCGTGGCGTCCATCAGAACAGCTGCCCAGAACAGGCTCACCCGGGGCCCGCGTCTCGGGCTGCGGGCACTCTCCCTGAGCGGCCGGCATCCCCTGATGCAGGCAGGGAACCGCTGACCAGCTTCCCAGCTGGTGCACCCCTTGCCTGGTTTTAGAGCAGGGGGCCCGCATCCCAGGGAGGCGTCTCCAGCCCTGAAAGATGGGGACAGCGGTCACTCTGGGGATATGCTGGGTGTGCGCCTCGGTACTGAGTGGCTCTTCCAGGCCCTGTCTTCTGTTTTGTTCCAGGGCGTGGGAGTGTCCCGCAGGGAACACCTGCCATTTCCTCTTGTGCCCGGAGTGATGGTTCTCTGTGAGCCCTGACCCAGCACGAGGGGCGGGCTCCTCTCTGAGCCTGGGCCCAGCGGCCAGTACCTGGTTAAAGAGCAGTCCGTATCTCACAGCCTGGGTGGTTAGATCCTTCACGTAGGCCATGTCACCCCCATTCTCCAGCTGTAAGGGAGATGTGCACAGCATATGGGCACCTGACCCCCCACTACCACCTTCCCTTTGGCTCCTTGATCCCCACACCTTATTGGGCTCAAAAAAGCCCTGGCCTGAAGCCCACAGCCAGCCAGCCAGCCAGCCAGCCAGCCAGCCACTCTGGCTTCAGTGAAAACCTACATTGCTTTCAAGGATGTGAAGAGAACAAGAAACGCCGCATTGGGAGATAAAACGTGCCTGCAAGTAGCAGGAGCCCAGGCATAGAGTCAAGGGCGAGTGGTGCCCTTATCCCCAGACTCCTCGAGGGCTGGAGGGGAGGGGGTGGGTTTCGGGAGGATGCCCCAGCAGCAAGGGAAAGGTAGGAGGGGGCAGGCAGAAGGATGTGAAGAGGGAGGTGGGGTCCTCCCGAGGGCCCAGGGGATGTCCCGCTCCCTCCTGCTGACGGTAGCCCTGAGTTCCACCCAGACAAGCCTGGCTCCCTGGGGTCCAGACCTCCTGCGCAGGGCTGCTGGGCTCTGGGCGATGACAATAGGTATTTGTTGAGCTGAATTGAATTTTAACTAGTGACTCATAGTCTTCAGAGCTCAAACACTGCCCTGCTTCAGCTCTAAAAATGCCAGATGAGAATCACATAAGAAACGTAACCGCTGGCATCCACAAGTCACAAAGAGGGAAATGCCACGTGGAAAAATATTCATCCTTTTTGGTAATAAAGGAAATGCAAGCTAAAAAATGAGATGCCATTGTTCCCGCGTCAGTGAACAAGAGGGCTCTGACGCTGAGCACCCAGCGTGAGGGCCGCTCGCTCACCGCCCAGGGAGGGGCAGCGTGGCTCCACATCTGACTGTAGGCATCAAGAGTTATGCACCTCCTTTCTGGACCTCCGTTCTCTGTCTTGAGATTCTCCTAAAGGAAGCACTCTAAGTGCAGTAAGGTCAACCGCTATGCGCAAACGCGCTCACCAGACCATCTGTAACGGCTGGCTCAGGACAGCAGCTTCCTACAGCAGAGAAATGGCAGCACAGCACCGCCTCTGGCACTGACTCCGGACGCTGGTAGGAGAGTTTGCTTTGTTAAAAATGGCGTTTGCAGTTCAGAGATGCCTGGAAGTCCACACTCACCATGGCCGCACTGACCAAGGCCAACTTCTGGAAATAACCCAAGGGTGTGGTGGCGGGTGGCCGTATGTCACCTCAGGGCACTGTGCAGATGCTCACTTAAAGACAGGGTCAAATCCTGCTATTTGCAGCTTGCACAGGCCTGGAGGGAGTTAGGCTCTGCGAAATAAGCTCGGTGGAGAAAGACCACATAGGACTCCACTTTTTATGTGGAAGATAAAAAAAAAAAAAACAGCTAATGAAAAAAAAAAACAAAGCAAACTCTTAGACTACAAGAACAAAACATCACTAGAAGGAGTGGGGTGACTCCATGACGTAAGGGGGACCCGTTACATGTGAAGAAAAGAAACTAGACCTTGGGTGTTGAACTTGACTTTGTACATTCAGATGCTGAGCTCTGTGGGACACCCGGAGCCTGCGTGATACGATCAGCTATTGTGACTTCAGCGCGTGGCTTTTACATGCAGAGGGGCTCAGAGAAGCATGGAGTGAGTTTAGCACGGAGTGTTTTAAACAAAGATGGAAAGAAGAGACAAGCCGGCGAGCAACGGCTGTCTGTGAGTGGAAGGTCTTTTCTCCCATCTTCCTTCGCATTTTAAAAAGTCCTACCAATGAGCACGTAACATTTGTGTCTGTGGGACTCGGTGTGGAGGGCGGGGTAACCCCAAGTCAATGGATGGATGCTCTATGCGTCTGGGCTCCTGGGCTGGGCACCCCCCACCTCCCCTGCAGGTTGGCTGGCCCTGGCCCGGTGACGGAGGGCCTCATGCCTCCTCACCCCAAGACCCTAGGTCTTGGGGTGCAAACACAGCTCCAGAAACCCTGAGGTGGGCAAGGCCGGGGCCGCTCCCTGGGGCTGGCTGCTCACCGCGTGGTAGTGGTTGGCGGTGACCCGGGCCAGCCAGGACTCGGGGAACAAGTTCACGTGCCTGAGCTCCTCCAGATCCTTGCCTGGAAGAAACACACAGGGGACATTCTATGGACTTGCGTAACAGAACCGCACAAGTCCCATTTACAGAGAGAGGGCGCCAGGGCTGGGACTGCAGGCGAAGGGGGTGGCTGCATGTCAGGGCAGGCTAAAGTGGGCACAGGAATCTTAGCAGCGCTCCGGCTGTGTCCAGAATCACTCCCTTGCGATCCCAAATTCGTGCTCGTTTAAGAACTTACACAAAGACATCGCCAGAGGAGCGGCCAGATTCTCTCCAAATTGGACGGCCGTTTCAGTGACCCGAGGAACTTGAACTACCTACTGACGCGTCCTTTGAAGTTTAACTTTCGGTATTTTGAAAGAATTATAGTCGCAACAGTCTTGCAAGAAGCGGCCGTGGCCACAGGCCCCCTCTGGGTGGCTGAGACCCATGCCCATCAAAGGAGAGGCCTCCAAGCTCAGCTTCGGCCTTGCACAGCTCTAAAAACACATCAGTTCTCACACTACTATAAAAATAAAACACTACCAAAAAGTAGCAGGAAGACATTAGGCCGCACAGGGGTCCGATTCGTTGCTCGGGCTCTGACTTCTCTCCCCAGTGTTCCTCGGGCCTCCCTCCAGAGAGGGCGTCAGGTGACGGACGGTCTAGGGGAACTTGGACAACGCCCTGGGCTCCATCACCCAGTGCGGGTGCCAGAGCACCCCTGCGGTCAGGGAACTAGAGCCGGCTTTGGGAAAGTTCCTTCTGGATGCAAAGATCTCAAGGTGGCCTCCTCGGCTGCTCCAGACACACTCCCCAGCATTCCCCCCTCCTCCTCCCCAGCTGCAGCTACCTACCCCCACAACCCCCCCCGCCCCACCCACCTTCTGGTTGAGGGAGCTCAAGCGTGAGCACAAGCAGAGTTTCCCTGGCGCCAGTGAGCCACCTGAGGGACCTGCCTGGAGGCCCTGCCCATGGGGGGAGCCGCAGTGCCCGCGGGGTGCGCCTTCACACTAGATCAGCCCGTTTCCTCCTCCACCACTTTGCACGGAAGCTCTGGCCATCCCCATTTTCCAGACTCGGAAACTAAGGCCAGTGATGTCCCCAGGGTCACCCAGCCTGGACGGGAAGAGCCAGGTCTCGGTTAATTCCTCTGGAAAGTTCCGGTGGGGCAGTCAGGGAGGGGGTCATGGGAGGTGTGGCCGAGGGCGGACAGGCCCCCACATCCTTCCCTGGGGGTGCGCGTGCGAGGGCTGGAGCTCACCTCTGGTGATGCCGTGCAGTCGCAGGCAGAGGAAGAGTGGCATCAGACACTGCCCCATGTCCCGGTCCAGAAAGGCGCACTGCTTGGGCAAGCTTCGCGGGGCACAAGGAGGAAGACAGGGCTTTAGGGAGCGCCTTCCCGGCTGGCCATGGCTCACGAGAGCCGTGCCACCAAGAAGCAGGATTTCACCAGCCCTCTCTGGGTAGGCGAGGGGCCCCGAGATGGCCCTGGGGAGGCTGACCCCCAACAGCAGGGAGACAGCACTTCTGTTCCCTGCACACAGCGTCAGCGCCCACACACACTCGTGAACCGGGGCTGGGACGCCCGTGCCCGCAGCTTACAGAGGCTCAGAACACATCCCCTCTCCTGCGTCTCTCCGACACCCAGCAGGACAGACAGACCGGGCACGAGTCCTGGCTCACTTTACAGGTGAACCCAGGCCAAGCCAGACCCCCGCCGGGCTTGTGAGGCCTCCTCCGAGCCTGCCGCCTGGGAGTAAATGGCCCAGGGAGGGCTCGGAGGTGCTGCTGGTGGGATCAGAAAAAAACAAAAGCCTGAGTGCGGGTGACTGGTTTAGCTCTGCTCCAGCTCCCGGAGCGCCCAGCGCTGACGCCCACGCCCAGGTCATTTCAACAAGGCCGAAGGTCAGGGCTGGGTCGGGAGGGTCGGATTGCCCTGGAGGAGACAGACATGCCCGGCCGCCACTCTTGTTTTGACACAGCTTGCTCGTAAAATGGGCACATCTCACAAATAGGGGCAGTGGGGATCGTTTTTCCAAGTCCCTTTGGAAACTTAGAATCACCCCTCCAGGCAGCTCTGCATGACGACGATTTTTCCATGACTCGAGAGCAAGGTCCAGCCCACACCCCGTCTCAGCAAGGTGGCCCCTCTGACCCCGTGTCCCGTCTCTGCTGGACACACTTGCCAAGCTGCCGTGGCCACTTGTTTTCATAAGATCCGGGAATTCCCGGGATGCGCCAGCTCCCCTCTGTGTTAGTGGCCCCAGGAGATGGGTTTTGGGGTGCCGAGGTGTGAGCTAAGTGTAATGCCAGTGAATGGGTGCTATTCAGTGACCATAGGCACCTGCTGGGTGCCTGTCTCTGGGGGTGGACAGTCAGAGCAGGCACAGCTGAAGAAAAGCAGGGACTGGACAGTTTTCAGCCGCGGGGCTTCCGACCTTGGGAGCATCCCCCGGCAGGTGAATCCGCCCAGGGTCCGAGAATGCAGATGGCCCAGCTGGCCAGATGGCCCTCACTGGCCTCCTTTCCCTGTCCTGGGTGTTCCCCTCTGCCTCTGCATCACCAGTTAACAGAGGGGCAAGCTACATGGCTTCGTGGCTGGAAGCCGATGTCCAGGAGGGAGGAAGGGGCCAGGCTGTCGCACAGACCTGGAGGCGGCTGGTGGCTGCGCAGGGGGCTTCTGGCACCGCCCAGGCGGTGGGATCAAAGCGGCCTGGCTGCCCTGGGCGTGGAGACGGATGCAGAAGCCTGGGGTCTAGCACTGACTTTTCTGGGACAAGCTTCTGGGCCTGCAGGCTGTCTCCTGATGTTCACCAAGGAGAGTCTGCAGTTCCCAGATTCTGAAAGACACCCCCAGGTGGTGCTGGGTCCAGCTCTCTAGGCCCTGGGACCTCCCTGTGACCCTGGGACTGCCACACAGAGCCCTGAAGTGGCACCTGCTCCCTCCCGGTCTGTGGGCCGCTCACCCTTCCTGCTCTGGTGACTCAGCCTCGATGGCCCAGCACTGTACACTTTCGCCTTAACGCACATGCTTTGGAATTCTGGCACCTTCTACCACCGGCTGAGCCTGGAGGGCATTACGCTAAGAGGAATTAGTCAGACACGCAAGGACAAGCCCGTCTGCTCCCACTCTCAGGGTGCCCTGGGGCGGCCAAACTCAGAGCCAGCAGCTGCCAAAGCCGCGGGCAGAGGGAGGGGGCATGGCTGGTGGGCATCCGTGAGCCGGGTGAGAAGCCTTGGCTGCACCCAGTGTGACCCGCTTAGCATGCTGAGCTGTCACCTGCGTGTGGCTAACACGGCCCATTTTATGTTCTGCGTGTTTTACCACGCATGAATGGAGATGACAGCTACTTAGTTACATGAAAAATAATCGAAATTCTAGTTAAATGTTAAGGGGGAAAACACACTCTGGGGGCAGTGGCTACTGCGTGGGGAACACGGCTTTTCTCAGATGCTGCTCCGTGGGCCAGACCCGCACCTTCTGAAACCCAAGACCCAGAAATGGCCCTGCTGAACCCCAAGCTAGAGCGTGGGGCATGAAGCTGCCGCCACCACCTGCCACATGTCACCCGCCATCACACCCTGCCGGGTCCCGGCCTCACTGCGTGATTCCAGCCGCTGGCAGGAGGAAGTGTCTGGAGGAAGTGTCTCCTCAGAGCCGGCCTTCCCCACGGCTGAGCGGCGAGTGGGGAGGTGGGACTGGCCTGGGGGGCGCATTCACGGAGCCGCCCACTGCTCTGTCCCTGCTCACAGAGCGTGACTGAAGACAGGGGTCTGTGTGTGCCTCTTCCTCTTGCCTTCCCAGCATCTCTCCGGTGCTCGGACTGCACCGATGGGAAGCCGCATGGGCCCACCAGCTCCCGGACTCAGCGCTCCCGTCTCACGCCTCTGCTCAGCCGCCGTGTATTTTCCAGGGGTTCGGGCAGTGCCGGCCCTGGTGTGTTCATGCACACACATGCATGCAGACACAGGCACGCGTGCACACACGCACACACCGCCCCATGCCAGCTTGCAAGACGCGTAGGGTCCCGTCAGCCATTGCCAGGCTGATTTTCAGGCCAAGTCCCATCGACGGGCTGAGAACCCCGTCAAAGTCATCTCCACTGGGAAGACTGCTCCAACCTCTGTCCAAAGCAGCCCGGGTTTGGAAACTCTGCCTGACGGCAGGGGGCTGGTCTGTCCTCTATGGGGGCTCCAGCCTCCAGGCGCCATGTGCCCCCGTGCTCCTCTGCTTGCTGAAGAGAATGTGCTGTCGGGCCCCAAGGGCAGGTAGGCAGCCAAGCAAGCAATAGGAATCAGTAATATTTAGAGAAGAGATTCAGCTGCCAGAAGCCCAGTGAAGAGGGCAGGACAAGAGACAAGAAGCCAGGCCCCGAGAACCCTGCTGCCCCTGACAGAAGAAGGTGTTAGAATGCAGGTAAGATCCAGGAGGACTTCCTGTAGGAGGGGGCTGGCATGAGATACTTCAGAGCAGCGTAAGTCGGGGTGCTGAGGGGGAAGGCATGCAAATGGTCTCTAACAAGGAAGACTGCGCAGGAGATCAGGTGCTTGGGGAAGTGCTGGGTGGAGGGGTGAGGTTTGGGGGTCAAAATGGAACTAATGCAGATTCAAGAGATTGGAGAAATATATTGAGGAATACTCAAGTCAAGGAGGAGCTCTGAGATACCAGCTCAGGAAGGCCATGGAAACCCCACTTTCATTTTGGGGGCCACACACCTCAGCGCTGCCATCCCAATTTGTGTCTCTCACACTGAAAACAGTTTCAATGAGTCAGTCACATTCCAGCTCATTTCCCATCACCCGTGCTAAGACCTTCCAGTGGGAGAGCCAGCCCGGAACCGAGACCGATTTTCCCGGGGCACATGATTCATAGGAAAACGTGTCTCTCGGGCTGTTAAAAGAATGGGGGAAGGGGGTGGATTTTAAAACATTTTAGGTCAAGCAAATTATAGAGAAACCAAGCAAAGAACATACAATTCCGGCGCCGACTGTTGATTTCCCCAAGTAATGAGACGGAAAAAGTGGGCTCTACCTAGCTGGTGCACAGCTGCTCCAGAAAAGAGCCAAACGCTTCAGAGTGATGCAGTGAGACACGCTGCTGCGAGGCCGTGGAAGAGGTTCACGTGCGCAAAGGAAAGGGGCTTTCTTGGCTTTTTCAAATGCGCTTCACCAAGCTGGGAGCCCCGGTCCCTGGGGCTGTGCGGATGGGAATGCAAACCTGAGGGTGACTGAGCCACGGAGTCTCCGAGCAACATCACACACCTGCGGCCAGTCTGCGTGAGGGCGGCGTCCATGGGAGGGTGCAGGGAGGAGCCTCTACCCCTGCCACCTGCCTGGGCTCCACGCCCACGCTGTGGCACCCCCCGCCCCACTGAACAGAGAGAAAAAACTCACGGCAGAGGGGGCATGGAGGGCCGAGATGGGGTGCGGTGAGGAAAGTTTAGAAGAGATGGGCTAAGAGATCCCAAGACTAGCGTGGCTCACCAGGCCCTGGGCGCTGCGGCTGAACCCCAGAAGAGGCGCCCAAGGCACCTCCCCACCTGGCAATCTGCCCCGCCACGGCACGCAGCAAAGAGCCTTGCGATTCAGCAGGTTCCATCTGTTACCACCCGCACGATCTCTGCTCTACCTCGGTCTCCTCATCCCTAAAGCGGGAATGATGAAGCGGCCCCGGGACCATGCAGGCGGCAGGGACATCATGACGCTGTGCGTGTCAGGAAGTGCCTCTGGGTGACCGCAGGTAAGCTCAGCCACTGTGACACTGTCTTCGTAAGTTCTCACTTAAGCATGGAGGTATGTGGCTTTTAAATTGCTGAGCTTAGTACGTATAAGACATTGGGTTCAGGCCCTCCCTGGTGGCGCAGCGGGTTAGAGCACAGCACTGAGAAGCTAACGCCGCTTCCGCACGAGTTCGATCCCGCCTGCCCCGGAGGTGACCACAAGGCGCGGCAGACCTCTCCTGACCCGTCCGCTGCTCCCCCCAGCAGTGTACTTGGACAGTGGCCTGTTCTGCTCCCCGCTCTGTCTCTGGTGAAGCCTCTCACTGCCCCTGCAACTCTGGCCTGCACCCCAGTTCTGTGTGCATCAATAAATGAATCTTTAAAGAAAAAGATATTGGATTCATTCTATGAAATCTCCGCACATTCAATCGCCTTTGTGTTTGCTCAGGAAATTCTGGTGAAAAAGAAATGAAAACGACCTGCTCCTATTTAGGTTTGTTTTGAGTCCATCTAGTTACTGCTGATGAAAAGGAGCCCTGTTCACGCAAAGGCACTAGGTTCTACTTCTGGTTTGAAAGTTTGTTTTGTTTCCAGTGTCGAGCCTTGTATACCCCTTAAAAAATAAAGACAACTTTCGCATAATGTCTTTCACTGGACCAGAGCAAGCTCTCGGGAGCACGTGATTCTTTTCTAGCATAACACTGACACCTTCACTTGTCCAAGTCATCTAGTGGTCAAGGGCGCCCCGGGGCCACACAGGACACTGTCGAAGTCACGTTACATGACATCACGAGCACAATGACACAGCCCCCAAGCAGCCCGTTCAACACTGGTACGTTACCTGCTGAAAAAGGCCAGCACCGTTTCATGGAGCGGAACAGTCTGAGTTTTGTGGTTTAGTTGCAGGTAGACCCACAAAAGCATTGTTTTCAGGAGATGAAATTCACTGAAAGTAAACAACCTGGCCAAAATAAAAGATTAGGAAGGCGTTGTAGGAAGGGTCAGAGCACACATCTTTAAGACAATGACAAGTTCGGGGAGGGTGGGGGGGCTTTGGGAATGAGGGCTCCAGCTGTCCTGCTGTGTGGCTGCAAAAAGTGGGTACCCCCTGCTGAGCTCTGAAACCTGTTCCCAAGTCTGCACGTGTTCTTTTATCGACCCCCACTCAGGAGGCCTGTGAAGCCCAGCTATGTTCTTATTCTTATAGAAGTGGAAATTGAGGCAGACCTCATATTTATTTTAATTTTAACTTTTAAGATCTATTTATTTATGCATACAAGAGCTGGGGAACAGGCCAGAGTTGTGGGAGATGAGAGGAGCCATCTTTCTTATGACTGCATTCTCCTAGCCCCTTTAAGGTTTATTTCCTTATGCATTCAAGAGCTGGGGTGCAGGCCAGAGGTGCGGGGTGAGAGGATTCACCAGAGACAGAGTGGGGAGCAGAAGAGGTGGAGCTACTGAAACACACTGCTGAGGGGAGCAGCGAGCGGGCCAGGAGAGGTCTGCTGTGCCCTGCGGTCATGCCCTGGCTCAGGATTGAACTCACGCAAGCGCTGCAGCGAGCTTCAAAGTGCTACACTTTAACCCGTTGAGCCACCAGCGGGGGCCTCAGCTTCCTTTTAAAAGCTAATGTTTTGCACATGAGTTTTGGCATTGCTTTTGACTTAAAATATTGCCCTAAGATATACCTCAGGGCAATGGCTGAGCACTCAAGGCCTCCCTGCCACCTGCTAGTCCCAGTCCCTGCTGAGGACTGAAGCGTAAGTTATCCAAGGCCCCATCTGGGGTGGGTCGAGTTCAGATCTCAGCTCTGCCCCCAGCTGGCTCGGCATCTCCTTCAGTCCTCACTCCCTCCTCTACAGAAGCTATATCACAGACCAGAGCAGTCTGGTGTTTTGGGGGGCAGATGGAGGAGCGGGGGAGGCCCCCAGAGCTGCCCGTTACTGCTGCAACAACCTCACGACCAAGAGGCTGTCAACAACACAACGGCCCCTGGCGCTGGAGGTCAGAAGTCCAGGGCGGGCCTCCCGGGCCTCCCGGGCCTCCGTGTGGCACAACGGGTTAGAGCGCAGCCCCGGGAGGCTGTCGGCAGCCACCGCGGCACGAGTGCAGGCCAGAGGCTCGGGGCAGAGGGGCCTCCCCAGAGACAGCGCGGGGAGCAGGACAGGCCGACTGACGAGTCCACTGCTGAGGGAGCAGCGGGCGGGGCAGGTCTGCTGCACTGGGGGTCACCTCCGGGGCCGGGGAGCGAACCCGCACTGAGGTGGCTGCGGCCAGCTTGCCCCGCTGTGCCACCAGGGAGGGCCTCTTGTTTATTTTTAGGCCCCTACAAAGGTGGGGCTATGACCCTGCCCAGACAGGACCCACACATCAGTACTCGTGGGGGTACCGATGAGGCGGAGGTGGGGGAGGCTTTGCAGACACACCTGGTGGGGCACCTCCTGGGAGGACACCAGGACTGTGGCCACAGGACTCTGTGTGGTTTCTGAGGTGGACCCCAGGCTGAGGGCCCAGAAGGTTCTTTCTCTGAGGCCTCAACCAAGGATGCCTGCAAGTGGACGGGGAGGGTTCTACGCGCTGTGGAGGGAGCACACAGCAATGCAGCCTGTCTGTAGGCCGCAGTCACTGCGCCTGGCCGGGCACCCAGACACAGCTGGCGGGAGCTGTCAGGCTCTGTCAGGATGGAACTGCAGAGACACAGCGCCCACCCCAAGGTGCCAACCGGGGGTCTGACTGCTGCTCCCCAGGCCTCGGATTTCACTTGTGTTCCTTCTTTAGGAGGAAAGAAATGGCTTTGAACAAACACTGCTTGTCCTCTAATTTCTGCTGAGAAAACTGCATTTACATAACAAAGGCCCCTTTGACCAGCCTGCAAAGACCAAGAACTGAACAACCATGGCCATAGCGGGAGTTGACTGTCAACGCAAAAAATGAAGCAAAACAGAATGAAACAAAGGCCATGGGGGGAACAGAAATCGCTGTTTCTTCCCTCAATGCGCCCATGCAGTAGTGACACTGGAAGTCAGCAGATGCGTGACTCCGAAGGTCACGTCCATCGAGCTCATGGACGGGAGCTGGACGGCAGGAGCTTTGAGGTTCAGACCTTGGCAGGACAACACTGGAGCTGTTTCTGGGGCGCACACACAGCCCCCCTCACCACCCCAGGGGCCCGCGGCCTGGTTGTCACTAGGAGGCGGGGAGGGGGGCTGAGAGGATGCAAGAGGACTCAGACAGGGGACAGGGATGGGGAACAGGGGACATCAAGTATTGGTCCTGTTTTATTTCTGAGTTCGCGACAAAATGCTGCCGTTGGCTCAGACTTCTAGAGAATTCCTGAGCCCTGGGGTACAGTTCTCATAACAGTACAGTTTGTACAAGCTCCCAGGGATGCTAAGAAGACAATTTCCTGACAACCAAAGGCTGAGGCCCAGGGGTCAGGAAAGTGTCTTCCTCCAGGCTGGTCAGAAAATGGAAACAAAACCGAAATGACAATGACGTCAAAGCGACTTCGTCCATCCGCCGAGGCTGAATGGCCTGGAAGCCAAAGTCAGCTCAGAGGCAGCTGCCACTCCAGTGGGCTTTGACAACCACCCCCGCACGGGCCCCGCCCTCTTGGGGGGCAGTGGACATACTGCGGGGTGGGAGCTGACAGAGCAGGGGCTGAGCCTGGGTGCGTGTCTGGCCGTTTCTCTGTGCGCAGGGCACCCCCTTCTGTGCCTCCGGTCTTCACCTCCCTCACGCTTGCAGGCAGCAGCCTCCGGACATGAGCCTTTGGGTGCGAGCGCATGTCGGGGTGCTGTGTGCCTGGGCCCCCCCACGGCGCCCGGGCTGGTGACGACCTGGGGCCTGCGGGCTCCTCCCCGGTGCGCAGGGCTGGCCCTGGGCGATCGTGCAGACGGTTGGTCTGGGGGGTGGGGGAGGCGAGCCCCAGCCCCGCTGCAGTCATGTCTCCCGTGGTCAGTCTAGACGCCAGCACGTCATGCCCTTGACCTTTTTCAGAGCCAGCGTGGTTCTGCAGAACCTGCCCGCGAAAGCCACGAGCACTGGCTTCTGGCTGTGGTCAGAGATTTTCGCCTTTCTTGGTTAAGAGCCCAGGGTGGGGCGGCTCAGTCTTTCCAAGGGAGGGGCAGTTACGGCAAGTCCCAGGATGCCGTGTTTATCTTATCCTCAGAGGTTGCATAAGCTTTGCTGTTTGGGGGAGGAGGGAGCTCCCTGGGAAAAGTTGGGGAACAGAGCAGAATGACGTGGGGGCCACCGCAGGGCCCCCACCGGCTCTGAGCCTGTCTTGCCAGCCCCATGTCACGAGTGCAGTGGCCTTGCAAGCTGCTTGGTAAACTCCAGCTAGCAGAAAAGAAATCTTTCTGGAACAAATCTCTGCAATTAGAATGTTTCCTACCACCTGTGCAAAAACTCTTCTTTTCTAAGACACCACTCCCATTTTCAGGGGAATTTAGCTCTCTGTTCTGAAATTCAGCCAAAGGCAACACAGTCTCAGCGAGCTGGCAAAGGACAGGCCCTCCCTGCTGGCACAAGGGGTGGAGTCTCAGAGCTACGAAGCTGTCCGCAGCCACCACAGCACGGGTTCGATCCCCAGCCAGGGAGCTGACTCACAGGGCGCAGCAGACTGCTCCTGTCTCCTTGCTGCTCTTTAAAAACAAGTCAGCAGTGACTTGGGTCCTTTCAAAGAGCTGTAACATGTCGGGAAGTGCCATCGAGGAGGACAAAGATGACAGGAGGAGATGGCCCGGGCAGGACAGAGCTGACCATTGTGCTGTGGCTATGTTTTAGTTTTGCTTTGTAAAGATTTCATTTTTATTTATTTATGCATACAGAGCTGGGGTACAGGTCAGAGGTACAGGGGGTGAGAGGATTCACCAGAGACAGAGTGGGGAGTAGAACAGGCAGATCTGCTGAGGGGAGCAGTGGAGAGACAGGAGAGGTCTGCTGTGCCCTGCGGGTCCCTCCCTGGCTTGGGATGGGACTCGTGCCGCAGGGGCTGCGGACAGCTTGTAGTGCTGTGCTTTAAGCCCTGCACCACCAGGGAGGGCCCCTGTGGCTATATTTTAGAGTATCTTTAGTAGAAATGAACACCGAAGCCCTTAGGAACTTGATGTGGGCAACTTGCCCTCGAAGAGTCAGGGAAAGGCCCGGAGGTAGATCCGCTCAAAACGCAAACCACAGGCTCGATGGGAAATGAGGGAGGGAGGGCAGGTGCCGTCTGGACTCTGCACTGCTCTTGCAACTTTGTTTGCAATTATTGTCACATGAAGCATTATTTGAAATACAAATTAAAACCATACAGAAAGTCCTTTTGACTCAGTGCTTTGACTCTGAGGAGCTGAACACTGGACACCCATGGAGCTGAAGGTAAATGCATGTGAGGTTGTCACCAAGGTTCGACATGATCAATGAAACACTGGAAAGGGCCTAAAAGCCAAGCTCTGGGGTGTTTCCAGGAGTAACTCCAAGTAGCCTGCTGGGGCCAGGGGACCGCCCTGAGGCCCTGCCCGGGCGTGTCTAGAGCTCAGCCACGAGGTGTGTGGGACCCTAGAATCTGCAGGGCTGAGGGCTCCGTGGCTAGAGGCAGACTGGAGGGGCCAGGAGCAGGTGTGAGACCCTGGGTGGGCGGTCCCTGCGATGGCCCAGAAGAGAAGCAAAGGAGGTGGCTTCTGCTGGCCTCCACAGAGAGGCCATAGAGAGTGGCCTGCCTGGGAGCAGACCGATGGCACTCGGGGAGGAGGGCCCGGGGTGTCCGCAAGGACCCCCAGGGCTCCGGCTGACCAGGGAGCCCGAGGGATGATGGTCAGGCAGGGTCAGCCCGTGTGGGTGGCCTTTCTGGTCACCGAGACCAGGCAGGAGCTGATGTCCAGGTGGTCCACTGACCCAGGGGAGAGCTTCTGTTTTCCTTTTTCTGCGGTTCCATGTTTTCCAAATTTTCCATAATGAATATGTATTAATGTGGTCAGGATTGTTTAATTACACAGTAATTAATTAACTACCAGGTGGGTGATGAGACACTGAGCACCCAGAGACCCTTCTCTGGTGAAGGAGTGTGACAGGACACCCTCCTCTCCTCTCTCCTCCCCTCCCCTCCATGGTCCCTTTAGTTTCTGCCCCCACCGAGGCAGGGTTTTCCATAAGGGCAGCAGTGCTGCCCACTGGGCCTGTCCAGGAGGGGGGTGTCTGGGGGTGTCCCCCCCTGCGGCTCCCGTATGGATGCCAAACCCGCTCCCCTATCACCCACCTCCCCCACCCAGGGACAGTTTCCCCGGGGAACCAGCTCTTACCTGGGGGACCTCAGCACTTTAAGCAGCAGCTCCTGGGGGATTTTGCGGAGGTAGATCTGCTTCCCCACCAGAGGGACCAAGTTCATTTCCAGCCACCTCTCGCAGGCAGTGGTGAGCTGCTCTTCCTTGTACTGGGGAAGCAAGAACAGTGGGCTGGCCAGGCCGGCCCTGCTCCCCGGCGCCCTCTGCTGGGCGGGGACCACACTACACCTCTGCTCTCAGGGTTGGGGCTGCGGGAGGGAGGCTCAGACCTTGACTTCAAAACACACAAACTGCAGCAGGGAACATTTTCTGGGTGTTTGCCAAGCTCAGAGCCCCGACCTAGGCTGATTTCAACCAACTGTCCCCTCGGCCCTCTGCGGTCAGGTCCTATTGTCCCTACTTTACTATGTGACCCACGAGAAGCCGAGTCTCAGAGACCTGCCCTTACCTCAGTTCCAGCCCCCCAACCCCCGCCCCGGCCTGCACCCTGGAATCTCTGGGCCAACATCAAGGACTGATCCAGAAGGACCACCACCCCCCCGGCCCCGTGAACCCCACGGGGAGCTCTGAGGCTATGTGCCCGACAACAAGGGTCCAGAGAAAGTGGACAAGGCTCCCGCCAGAGATGCCCCCTGCCTGTGAGCTGAGGGTGTGTCTGGTTCATGGCGCGGTGTCCATCAGCCGGGGCCCCCTGGCCCCCCAGGCCTGTGTCATCACCAGCCCCACCCCTTTGCTAAGGGTCACCTGGACATCCTTAGGCCAGCCCAGACGCATGGACGGGGCCCCGTGGGCGTCTCACCTGCCCACCCTGCAAGTATGCCCACAGGGAGTCTGGGATTTGCTGAGAAAGGTTGTGCCCTCAGACTCTTTCCTAAGATTAAGGCTTTTCAACTTTTGTACTATTAGAATTGTCCTCTTAAAAACAAAATGATTTTCAGAAATTGTTCACTTGGCAAAGTAAAATACCAGTGTCCTTAAGTTAGCGTGATGGCATAGGTTTGGGGGAACCTGCCTGGCGGGGAGATGGAGGGTCTGGGGGCTCTGCGCGCCCCACCGAGCTGTTCTCACCTTGTGGCTGGCCAGGTAGAAGTTCTTGATGGTGCTCGGAGACAGCCTGTTTATCATCAAGTTCACACACCTGCAGGGAAGGGAGAGATCCACTGTTGCTGGGCCTCCGCCTGTGTTCAGAGCCTCGGGACCACACTGAGGAAGGGGCCCTACACCCAGGAGGAGCCTGGACAGCGGGAGAGGCAAGGCCAGCAAAGGCTGTCACAAAGAGCTTTGGGCTGAGGGAGGCGAGGCCTGAGACGGAATCTGCCAGAAGGAGACAAAGCTCGGAGTTTAAAGTCCTGGAGGGGCCTGTTGTGGGTTCCCAGATGGCCAGCTGGGGTCCCCAGCAGTGAGGTAACCTCCTTCTGTCCTGACCCCTTCCCCACCTCCACCCCCAGTGCTGCGGGAAAGATCCCCTTTTTCTTCTTCTTGCAAGGGTTCAGGGAGCAACTTCCTGATGAAAACCCAGTCCTTCCTCCGCAGGCCTCATTTATGTGGCTCACTGGCTCAGTAAGGGTCCACAACATGGACCAGGCACCCTGTGAAACCCCTGGGGTACAAAGAACAAAGCTGACGGCTGGCAAGGCGGCACACCTTGAGCAAACTTTGGAATGGATAATAATCATTCCATTCAGCTTGTCCAGGGTTAGAAGCTTCAAAAGGACAAGGGGCCGTGGGGATGCAAAAAAAAGGGAAATCCTAGGAGAGGGAGGATGAGGAAAGGGACTCTGAAACCTGAAGCAGGGGGACAAAGAACTGGCCAGCCCACGAGCCGGAAACCGGCACCGGAGAGGAGCAAAGAGCATGTGCAAAGCCCCAAGGCAGCAGCACTGGGCTTGGAGGGGCATGAGGATGGCGGTGCCCAGGCAGTGGGCGTGGCGTCAAGACCACCCAGGACGAGCTGGGGGGTTCTGTGGCGGCTGCACCTGTCAGGTGGGTGGTGGGGTCACGGCTGGGGTGAGGAAGTGCTCACGCTCCACCCTCTGTGAATGCCTCCTGGTCCTCCCGACAGCTCCCCTGTGGCACCCCCAAGCGGAGCCAGCAGGGGTCACCAAAAAAGCTGCCCCCCCAGTGCACAGTGGGGTGCCGGGCATGCTGAGCTTTGCATTTCTCTCCTCCCAAAGCGCTCCAGGGACCGTGTGTAAATAGGGATGAGGAGGTTCTTACCTGCACGAGGGGCATGGTCCTGAGGTGCGGAGCCAGCTGTGTTCACCCCCCCGCCCCCCATCAAGCGAGATCTTGAGCGAAATCCAGCGAAATGGACAGGCCGGCGTGGCCGAGCGCGGTGGGAAATCACTGGATACCGGGGTGGGCCCCCCGACTGCTTTTTGCCCCAGAGGGAGTGTGGTGGGCTCGGATGAGGTATCCCCGGGGACGCGGCTCCCCGGGAACTCACAAGTGGGGACAGCGCCTCTGCCCCTGGCAGGCCCGGAGCCCAGCTCTGCAGGCCCGGCCCCGCCCAGGGAGGGGCTGCTCAGACCGCGGCGCCCTGGCGCCCTCACCTCCGGAACAGGCTGCCCAGGCGGAGGACGTGCGCCGAAGCCAGCACGCCCAGCACCTCGTCCATGTCCATCTCGGCCTCGCTCACGTAGAGGTTCTTGAGGGCCGTGGCAAAGGCTGCGGGCAGCCCCGCAGAGAGCCGTCAGGCTGGGTGCTGGCGAGGCCTCCCCGGCGCCTCCCTGAGGGGTGCTCAGGGCCTGAGCTGGGTGGGCAGAGGCGGGGCTCCCCGCCCCCACCCCAGGAGCTGGGGGTGAATCTTAAGAGCCTGCCGCAGGAGGCAGAAGCCTGTCCCCTCTCCAGGCCCGGCCTCTGCACCCGAGATGCCATTTGCTAGAGTTTGCTGACCCAGACTTCACAGCCGTTTCCTGGGTCTTCAAGAAGGTCAGGACTCCCTGGGGAGCCAGGAGACCTGGCCAGCTCTGGCTAGAGGTCCAGCCGCCTGGGCACAGGGGACTGGGCTACTCCAGGTTCTACCGGGTCCCAACAGCCTGTAGTGAATGGGCCTGGGGTGCTCTGGGCCACGTGGCCGGGCGAGCGGGACTTCGGCCTAGTGACTCACGGGGCGGCCGTCACGTGACGCTGAGCAGGCTTGTCAGCATGGACGCCTGTTTCTAGGCGGCCAGGGTGTGATGGGGACGGGTGGGCCCTAGGGAGCAGGCTGGGCCCTGGCGGGCTGGTCCATCTGAGGAGCCCCACGCCTGCCTGCTGGGCACCCCTCTCCACGCCCGCCTGGCCGTCCCTGCTGCCCGGCCTCTCTCCTCCCACCTCGGCACAGCTCCTTCACTTTTAGCAAGTGGGCACTGAACGGGCGACTTCCCTTTGCACGCGGAGGCCGGTTTGCTCAGCCAGGCGCGGCGGGGCTCGGTGGCCTTACCGATTTTAGTGACCAGCGGGTCGTTGATCTTCAAGGAAATGATCACCTTCTTTACGGGGGGCTTGTGTTTGCTCTTCTCAGGCACTTGAACTAGCGAAGCAAAGGGGCAGGTGACGGACGTGGCCACCCCGCTGTGCCACAGGCCACGAGGCCCCAGCACAGGGAGGGCGTGGCCTCTCCCTCTCCCCCTTTCGCTCTGTTCCCCTCCCCCCTTTCTCTCATGAGCCCGTGAGCAGCTTGAGGGCGGGATTGGGATTCGAACACTGCGCCCCAGCACCCAGCTCAGGCCCGGCGGGAGCAGCAGGGGACAGCCTGCCAAAGGACGACGGACAGAGGCGTCCGTTTACCTGCAGCCGCCAGAGCCCAGGGCGACCCCACCTGAAGGCTTCAGGGAAGGGGAGGCCGAGCCAGCTCACGGCCGTCGCTCCTGGCAATCGCTCCCAGGTGTGGCTGGTACCCAGGCTGCCTCGGGCCCCTCCGGGGCACAACGGACAACGTCCTCCGGTGCCCCCGGGCCCACCCCACGGCCCCTTCTAGTAGCTTATTCCCCAGGAGACTCCTGGGCTCATCCCTCACCCATGTGGGGTGTCTGGCCCGGCAGTGGGGTAACCCCTCCCGCCCCCATGACCACTGCCTCTCTTCTCCCCCAGACCACCCGCCATCACCTGGCATGCTGTGGGCATTCACCCTGGAGGCTGCGTGTGAGAGACAGCTCAGCACCTGGGTGCCGAGGAGGGGGTCGGTGCACACGCCACACGTTCAAGGAGTGGCCGGACCCCCCCACCGCTGTCCCGTAAGTTCAAGGCTCTGGGGACTGGCAAGTGACATGAGGCAGGAGCCACACAGCAGGTCACACCGGCAACCTTGGAGACAGCGAAGGGGAACAAAGATCCCTTCTCAGGCGGGGGTGGGTGGGGGGGTGGGTGAGAGGGGTGCTCTTGCACGGCCTCTGCTCAGGCTCTCGCTCCGCACATCCTTCCCGAGCACCCACTGAGTGCCAGGCCCTGGCCATCGTCTCTCCGGATCCCACACGGCCTCCCGGCGCCCAGCACACAGCAGGCTCGCGAGGACGAGCTGTTAATCACGCCTCCGCCTCCCTTAGAGTTAGCTGTGGGCTCCCCGGCTACTCAGCCCCTAGCACGGTGCCTGGCAGCAGCGAGGCCGGGCCTGGCGCAGGCGGGCGAGACAGCCGGCTCGGGCCCGGGCCTCTGCGGTGCCAGGGACCGGTGTCTGGTTTTGGTCGCGTGTGCTGTTGGCCTCCTGGATTTCATCCTGGGGGGGGGACGGCGGGGGGAGTGAGCGGCAGGGCCCCTTGGCGTCTTGGGGCGCTGAGCCACCACTCTGGGGCCCGGTCAGGAGCCGCCTCAGGGGCTGACCCGCGGGATAAATGACAACGTGCACAGTTGAGCAATAGAAAACGAACCGCCTGGTCAGTGAGCGAGCAGCAGATGGAACAATCACCAAGGAGGATGTGCCGGAGGCCGGTAGGCGTGAGAATGTCGCTTCCAGGAAGGGAGAAACAACTCAAACCGCAGTGACACACACTGTCACATCCGTGAGAACAGCACACGTTGCTCACGGGTGCCCACGTGGTTCCAGAACTTCACACCTACTTCCTCCTCTGGCTTCCAAGCAGCAACTGGGACCTATCAGCCCCCTCCAGGTCCCATCACGAGGCCGCAGGGGTCTTGCTCGGAGCTGACGAGGGACCTGACCCCCGCGCGGATCACTGGATGCCAGGCGGAGGTCTCACGAGCCCCAGGGCTGGGGCTCCGGCTGGGCGCCCATGGGGCAGTACCTCTCAGGAGCTTGTCCACGTCCCTCGAGGGGCCGCTGGCGCTGCGGACCAGGGCCGCCAGGTAGAGTTTGGCCAAGGTCTCGGACTGAAAGATCTGAGGCTGGTGCAGCTCCCACTGGAAGCCCAGACACTCGAGAACCACATCTGAGGAGAGGAGAGGATGAGTGCAAACGCCACCAGCCTGCGCCTTGCGCCACCACAGAGCCCTCGCTTAGGCCCTCGGACGGGGGAAGGGCGCGGCCCCCGGCCTGGGTGCCACACGGCATCTGCAGGGCCTGGGGCCCCGGGGCCACCCTCACCCTGGGGAGCAGGGATGCCTGCAGGGCCTGACCTGTCTTCCTTCCCAGACTGCCTCCCCCGACACTCGGAGCCACGCGCTCCTGGGTCAGTGGCCACTGCGTCCCTTGTGCGTGGTCAGCTGCGCCTGGCTTCCAGCTGCCGGTGGCGTCTGCCGCCCTCGCTGTGACCAGAGCGCTGTCCCTGGCATTCCCAGACATCTCCTGGAGCGTGACGTCCCCTGCCCTGGACTGTTCCGGGTCCTTCCGGAGGCCGCAAGCCGCCCACATTCTGGCGACAAAACTCACCTGGCTCCCCACTTGGGATGGCCTTGTTCTTCAGACTCTGAGGAAAAGCCTTCCAAATTTGTGAAATGGATAGCCTCAGGGAAAACAGAAAGTCCAGCCGTCAACACGGACTCTCTGTAACCCGCGTGTTCCCCCGGGGCAACCGGAAGGTCCATGTCAGCCTCGCCACCCCTTTGGCGGGGTCCCCTGGGGCCATGCTGGCCGCTGGCCCGACACCCTCAAGGCATTCGTTCCTGCTTCAGTGTGGGGCCGCCTCGTGGAGAGACCGGGGAGCCTGAGTGACCCCTCCCTGGGGGGGTTTAAACAGCATCTGGCCTGTGGCAAGTGCTCTGACAGTGTCTGCTGAGGGGCGAGAGACGGTTTCGCACGTCTCCGGGGAGCTGACCCACCGAGGCCTGGACTGAGGGGCCACGTGGCCTCAGCCCCCGTGTCTCCAGAAACCGAGCTTGGACTCTACCCAGCTCCTCTGCTCCTGCCAGGGCCCCTGTTTCGGCAAAGGGCACGTTGGCCTGTCGCCCAGGCCAGTGCCCGGGGCCTCCACACAGCTGGCCACTGGCCCTGCTGAATCGCTCCTGAGCCCCCCGACTCTGCCCCAGTGGCTACGGCCCTGCTGAGGCTCCGTTGGCTTTCAGAGTCTCGGTGCCCCTCCCTCTGCGCCAGGCTGCAGCCCATCTTCGGGGCCCCGTGTTCGTGTCCTGCTCTTACGCGCACATCCTGCCCTCAAAGTTCTGTGCGCCCCACTTCTCCCCCCCAGCGAGGCCCAGCTCATCCTGCCAGAGAAACATCCTCCTTGCTTTCCCGGGGCGGCGGCGGGAGCGGCCTCCCCACGGCCTGCCGGGAGCCCGGCTGCTGTGGTTCCGTAAGGCCCGGGCGCCTGGGGTTGCTGGGCTGCGCACGGCTCCCCTAGTTCTGCTCCCCAAGGCAGAGCTGGGTCATTAGCTGCTGCCCCCAGCACAGGCGCCCGGCTCACAGTAAGCCCATACTGACAAGACACTTCTCCATAAACGCCTTGTTCATCCCGCTAAACAGGAAATGAAAGTTGAGGTCCCGTATTCACAGTTTGAGGCAGTCACCCCAAGAAAATCCACCGGCCAGCTGGTGACCACATCCGGTCCATGTCCCCTTCGGCCAGCTCTTTCCCAAAGACCTGGAGCCCAAGGGCCAGGGCGCCCGGAGCAGGACTGGGGTGGGGAGCCTGTGTCTAGAGCCGCACTGACCACGAGCTGCCCGTCCATCCGAGTGGAGGCCAGGAGCGGAGGCTAACTCGGGAGGGTTGTTTACCCACGGGGCAGTGGGCCGGAGCCAAGCCAGACTCAGGCCCCTGTGGCTTGGTCGCACGTCTGGGAAGAGCGGGCCAAGGTCAGGAGGTCAGACGGTGACCGCCAGGCGGAGCGACAGTGGGTGCTGCCATGAGCTCAGCCACCCTCGCAAACATCACTGTCACCGTCTAGGCCGAGGATGAGGGGCTTGGGGAGGGGGGCCCTGGCTGCAGAAGGACAGCGTCTCCCTCTGGCTCAGGGCTGCCGGCCCCAGGGTCACTGGGAGGGCAAAGGGCAGTGGCCGCCTGTGAACTGACCGGGGGTGACCGGCCGGTGGGACCGCTGGGATGTGCTGCTGGGCTGGGGCTCCCTCACCTAGTCTGACTCGGAGTGGAGGATGAGAGGGAAGGGGGGTTCCAGACGTTTCTCACAGACTGGGGACGTCCCGCGGGATACCCTCAGCTTGTGAGACTCCAGTGGCAGAGACCTGGGCGGGGAGCCCGGCCCCCCTTTGCCGCCACAAGCCTCGGGCCAGGTTCTTGGACTTGGGCCTTTCGTTCGTACACAGAAGTAAAGGTGCCTGCTTCGGGGCTGCCGGGGGAGCGAGAGCTGGTGCAGGGAAGGCCGGCACTGGGCAGCCGGTCCCTCCTCCCGGCAGCTCTTCCCCACTCAGCGTCTCTAGTCTCAGCCCTCCCAGCGTTGCTCTCTGGCTAAGAAATCGAGGGGGCACCCTCCCTGGTGGTGCAAGGGGTTAAAGCGCAGCACTACGAAGCTGGCTGTGGCTGTTCAGAGTTTGATCCCTGGCCAGGGAGTGACCCACATGGGCAGTATACCCCTCCTGTCTCCCCACTGCTCCCCTCAGCACTGGACTTCTGCTCCCCACTCTGTCTCTGGTGAATTCTCCCACTGTCCCTGCACCACTGGCCTGTACCCCAGTTCTGTATGTATACATGGATAAATCTTTAAAAAAAGAAAAAGAAATCGAGGGGTCCCTTCTTTTCATCCTTGCCTCCTCCCACAACCTCCTCCTACCCCCAAAGTGGACCTGGAATTTTGGGCAGCATAGAAGAAAAACTGGGGCGCGGGAGGGCTCTGGCCCCTTCTCCTAGAGCCCTGGCCCTCCACGGTGACCCTGGCCCTCCCCACGATGGGGCCCTGGGCAGGCTTTCGACCCCACTCTGTGGCCCCCGCCTGGGCGCTTCCCGGAGGGCCCCGAGACTTCCTCTCCCTACCTCTCGGGGTTCTTCAGCGCTTCATCAAAGTCTATGCACAGAGCTTTGCACATCTGGGACAGCGCCAGCAGGTCCCCTGAGAAAGGCTCCTTGGGAAAACGCCACCGGTTGGTGGAGCCGACGATCCGGCGCTCCGGCCGGGCCCGGCGCTGCGGGGGCGAAGGGATTGGGGACTCTGTCCTGGAGACGCCCACGTGCGGGGTTTTCTACATGGTATAGGAGAAAGAAAGTGAAGACGAAGTTTTCAATGCAGGCTGATTTTCAGTCCTGGCCACAGTTCCTCACGGGGTCTCTTCTCCAGCAAATATATTGTGTCCAGTACACCGGATTTCAGGCTACCGAGCAGTGAGCAAATGGGGCCCAGGAGGGAGATGGCGGAGGCAAACGTGGGAGAAGCAGCGTCTCTAGGCAAGTAGCTCTGAAGACACCCCCAGCAACCTTAGCGGAGACCTCAAGGAGCTGTTCTTTTGAGCGCTCACCCAAGCAGGCTGCTCAGAGAGATACCGGACCATGGAGATTGCGGGCAGGGACTGTTTCGTTTTTTTAAATGATGAAATGTACAAAACATAACATTTCACAATCTATCCATTTTATCATGTACAGTGTGGTGGCATTTTACTATATCTGCAGTGCGTTACTGTGACCACCCTCTCGTTCAGATTATTTTCATCAGCCCAAAGGGAAATCTGCATTCGTTAAGCCATCACCCCCAATCTCCTTGTCTCCTAGCCCTTGGCACCCACTAATTTACTTTCTATCTCCATGGATTAGCCTCTGATGGATACTTGATGTCAACGAAAGGCGTCAACAGGTGGCCTTTAATGTCTGGCTTCTTTTACTTAGCAAATGACTCCAAGGTTCAACCATGTTGTAGCAGGTGTCAGAATTCCATTCCTTTTCACCACCGAATAATATTCCTCAGTGACTAGCCCTTCAGCTAATGGACACTTTGACTAGCCCTTCAGCTGATGGACACTTGGGCTGTGTCCACCTTTTGGTGATGGAGAGCAACACCGTGGAGTGACACCGGGGTGTCGGGACTCACTAGGCGTTCCTGTTTGAGCCCCGCCTTTGGTTCTTGTGGGTGTATACCCAGGAGTAGAACAACATATTGCCTGCCAGCTAGCGAAAATAGTCACTTACCTGATTCAGCATGTTCCTGATCAAGAGTGAAGATGACACAGCAGAGAGAGAAGCTGCTCCTGGAAGACAAAAAGCAGGAAGTTTAAACTTCCAAAAACTTTCCAAGGGTCTCCTGAAGTTATCAGGAGATTGGCCTAAAGAGTCTGTGTTTGCCACAAAAGAGAATGAGGGAGACGGGCGTGTGGATGATGTCATTTCCCCTGATTTCTAAAGGCCCACGAGTAACAGGATGGTCTCGGTTATTGTGCCGAGGATGTGGTACACATCGAGCAAATCATGGGATAACCAGAACCCTCAACCTGTCCCTTTAACCTGTCCCCAGGTGATCCCAGGTGATCCCAGGTGATGGGACACCGAGGCCCTCCGAGGAGGCTGATCAGATCATCTGCTGCTTGTGTGACCGGTCCCCACCCAGCTGGGAGCCCCAAGGTGCTCAAGGGAGTGCGGCCAGCTTGGCTGTCACCAGGGCGCCCCCTGTACCTGAGGGGTGTCAGGTGCCAGCTACACTTGCTGTCCAAGCCCACCCGCCCGCCTTCACAGGGGCTGCGCGCTCATGGCGCTCTCTGGGTCACAGGTGCGCTGGGGGCGGTTCTCTTTCCGAGACTGAGCCCCGACAGCGAGCATGACATCTGGGGCTCCTCTTCCTTCTCTGCGTATCTCGGGCTTCCTGGGTCGTTGCGGGCGCCATGGCAACATCAGGATGGTTCTGAGCACTTCCTGTGCCGCGCTGCAGGTCCATGGCTGAGTGGCTGTGGGGGACCAATGGGGTGGCACCTGCTTGCTCCTTGACCTCCCTGCTGGGAGGTGACATCCTCACATCCCTAAGGTCCGGGGTGGGCGACCCCAGGAGAGTCGCGCAAAGAGCCTGGATGAGAATCAAGCCCAGGCCCTCAGCCCCCAGCTGTGACGAAGAATGGACTAGCAGGTCCCCCAGCTGTGGCCGCTGGTCCACTCCATTTCTAGCCCTAGTACCCACAAATGTTTTTTTAAATAATATAATAGTTTTCATATCATTTTGTACATTTTCCCCCCATCTCAATTGTAATCCCGTGGGTTTCCCATCACCGAGTCACCCGTGTGCCATCACCATAGTCCAGCGCACTCCCTCCCCCACCGTGTTTGATCCCGTTCCCCACGCCACCCCATAAAATGTCTCTGGTCTAGAGCTGTTCATTATTATTATCATTATTTTCTCCCCTGGTCCGTTATGCTCCGGCTATGCGTGAAAACATCTGGTATTTTTCCTTTTCTTTCTGGCTTATTTCACTCAGCATGATCCCTTCCAGCTTCATCCATGTTGCTGCAAAAGGCATGTGTTTCTTTTTTTTGGTTGCTGAGTAATATTCCATTGTGTCTATGGACCACATTTTTTAAATCCAGTCATCTACTTTTGGGCATTTGGGCTGCTTCCATGTTTTTCCAATTGTAAATAAAGCAGCAATAAACATGGGGGTGCAGGTATCTTTTTGAATCAGTGTTTTTGTGTCTTTTGAGTACCCACAAATGTTTTGACAAAAATAGTTAAATTAAAATGGGAGGGTCTAACGTCATTCAGAACTACGCCTTTTGATTTGTTTTGATGATCAGTGTATAATTTTCTTTTGGGGAACTAAGAACTGCCGAAGGGGCTGGGGTGGGGTCAGGGCCAGCCAAGGCCTTCCCGCAAGGGCAGGCGGGAAGTTGCCGCATCCTGGAGATCTGGATCTGACGTCTGGGCCCCAGGTAGGAGGTGGGGGCTGCGCAGACCCCTCCCGGGAAACTTAGCCCATTGAATTCCGGGCCCCCTCTAGGGCTCCCAGAGTCCAGCGCAGTGAGAGCCCGGCGTCCAGCCCGGGAGCCCGAGCACAAGCTTCCTGCGGCCTTCCCGCGCAGCCCCCAGGGAGCCAGGCCGATGGCGAAGCAGGACAGGAAAGCAGCTGCTGGGCCACCCTAACTGTGTCCGTGACTGTAAGCGGGGCCGCTGATGGCCTCTTCCTGACGCCGCCTCTCCTGACCCCGTGTTGCTGAGGGGCTGCCGGCCACATGGAAGCTTGCCCAGCCCTGCACCCGCACACCAGAGCCACGAACCTCGGAAGAGCCCAGCTCGCACTCGGACAGCTGGGGGTGCTGTGTGTGTGCCTGGACGTGTCACGCCGGCCGGCGCCTGTCTGCTTCTGCGGGCCGTCTCGGCAGGTGTCTGCAAAACCGGATATATCAGCCCGCTTTGCTGCTGCCTCCCCGGCATCCGACGTTTCCCCAGCTCCCTGTCCCTAGGTCCGTGCACGGTTTCCGTTGAAGAGTTTAAATGCTGTCCTGAACCTCTGAACATCCCGCTCCACTATGGGCCTGCGGGCAGGGGCGCCCGGCCAGGCACAGCTGCTGGCCAGCCCTCGGGCTCCCTCTCGTGGCCGCTCAGGAACAGCATCCCAGAGGGCCGCTTCCTCCTTTCCTAAGGTCTGAGCTCAGGGACCCAGAGCCCTCTGTGTGCACATCTCTGCTGGAGTTCCCGGTGGCTGAACTATCAGACGGAGCCAACAACCACAAGTAGGGTGAAGTGGCCGTGGCCCCCGAGGATTACCTGCAGTGGACCAGCGGTGTGCTGGGATGCGGCCGGCACCGGCCCAGCATATGAGCCCAGAGAAGTCATGAGCCCTGAGGGCGCAGGCCCCCGCCGGCTCAGACTCCAGACTTCACAGAGCACAGCCCTTGGCCAGAACCACCTGCACCAAGCCCACCACCCGGTTCCAGCCGCCATGCCCCCTCCCTCGCCACGGGAGGGAAGGAGGAAGCCTCCCCACCCCACTGCCCCCCTCCTCCAGTGGGGCCTCCCCTTAGCTGTCCTTAAAGCGTCGAAGGAGGAAACCTGGGGAGTGGACACAGCTCCACGAAGGCCGGGTAAAAGTGAAGGATATTCAGCGTTTGCAACGCCAGGGCCGAGACCCCTCAGGCCAGGCCAGGCCGGGCTCCTGAGGCTGAGCTTGGGCCGGGCAGACTGAGCAGCCGGGGCCCAGCGGCCCAGCTCCTAGGCCTCAGAGGGGTCTGTGTCCACTGGGGGTGGGGTGGGGCCTGTGTCAGGTGTTGGGGGTATAATTTGTACAATCCCTCTGCAGGCGATTGGGCAGTGGGCTTCCCAGATAAAAATGTATCTTTGAGGAAAACAGCCCGGGCGCCCTGGGACCTGGCTCGGCTCACAGTGGCCGCTGTTCCACTGCTGCCCAGGGATAACTGCACAGCAGTCAGGACAGACCGGCCCAGACGACCCTCCACGGAGGGTTTCCTACAGCTTCTATTTGGGAGGCGGTTTACGGAACCCGGCAACATGCACCCACTTACAGCTTGATGATGTCAGGTGTACACAGCTGGATGCAATCCTGCCTCCCTGCTTTAGCACAGTCCACCAGCCGCAAAGCTGCACCCTCGCTCCCAGCCCGCCAGCTCCTGACCGGCAGCCCGGCCCCTCGTCCCGCCTCCGGAAAGCTACGAGAGGAAGCAAAGTGCATGCTTGAGAGTCTGGACTTTGATCTGGCTTCTTTGCTTCAGCGGAAACACGAATCATAGTCAAGCCATAGAGGACCAAATAGCCTCCGACCTGGTTACTTTACATCAGCAGCACCTGCTTCTTGACCAATGACAGCAGCTTCTGTGTGTCCACATAACACTTACCCAAACTGAGATTTGTCCCCATACCCTGAGGTGAAGGCCTGCATCCCAGGGCCTCCGGTGTCACCCCTGGAAGCCAAATCCTCACCACGGGCTTCCCAGGACCGCTAGGAAGCCCCACAGCTCCCCCTGCTGGGCGTCCTCCCTTACTGCCTGGGCCTGTAACCACCTTCAGGCCCAGGACTGTGCTGGGGCCTCTGCATAGTATTGGGGTGCCCACAGCAGCGAGGGTTCACAATGACAACAAACACTGGCATGATGTAAGTGTCCACAGTGGGCAGTTTGTTAAGTACATCTGGTCCATGGGACTCAGGTGTGGTGATTACGAGCCGCGCTGCTTGACATAAAACACTCAGCACTAACTAACGCGTGTTAGGTGAGGAGGAGGAGGGCCGAGCCGGGGGCGGGAACCACGACACTCCAAATGACGTCACTCCAAATGAACAGCTCACATAGAAAGGGCAAAACTACAGAAAAATAAAGCTAAGAACGTTTAGTTATTATCTCTTGGTTTGGGGTGATGGTTGTTTTCTTTCCTCCCTTATCTGTATTTCTAATTTTTGGCAATGGACATGTTTCACTTGAATGAGAAAAAAGATTGAGGAGCTTCTCTGGCCTGAGAATTCAGCTGAGAGAGAATCTGGGATGCGGGTGGTGGAAGGGATGTGTCCTGCCAGGTGAGCATCCGGTGAGGGCGGTGGCTGGACCAAACAGAGGCTGCTGGGCAGGGGGAGGAGGCAGCGTCCTGGTCAGGTGGGGGTGGCCTGATTACAGGCTGGGGGTGCAGGCTGCCCTTCTCTGCCTGTGCTGCCTCTAACCGCCAAGCTTCACCTTGGACGCCAGCTCCGCCACACCACCTGTGCCGGCAGGAAGGGCCCTAAGCGAGGCAGCAGCCTGGAACCACCGAACCTGGGCAGGAAGGGGGGCATCCAGCCACAACGTCGGGCTCGGGTCTGCTCCCCAGGCGTATACCCCACCCCACACGTCCTACGGGGTGTACACGTCCCCCCGGGAAAATGCGCCCACATCCTAACCACCACCGCCTGCAAAGGCGACCTCAGTTGGCAATAGGGTCTCTGTAGATGTAATTCAGAGTCCTGAGAACACTGGATTGGGGGTAATGCCTGCCCCCAAGGCTGGACAGGGCCCCCTGAGACCTGCTCTGGCTGGAGCCACGTGTCCGGCCTTTCTGGTCCGGGGCCTCCGTGCCAGTGCTTGCGAAGATCCGGGTTCCTAGGGGATGAGAAATTCTGCCCTTGCCTCAGTCCTGCCTCAGCCCTCACCAGCTCACCGGAGTGGGTTCCTATGGGGTGGCCCCTTGGAAAGCAGGGCTACTGGACACACAGAGAGGCCAGGTGAAGAAACTGGAACAACGTGGCCAGAACCATGGAGGCTGGCGACCCTGGACACTGCCTCAGGGACTGGGGGTGGGGTGGGGGCAGCCTGCTGACTTCTGGCCTCCAAACCCGCCAGAGGATGTCTTTGCATGGTTTCAGACTGCCAGCTTGGGGCGACTTGCTATGGCAGTCTTAGGGACCCCAGTCACCCCCACCCCTCACCCCATCCACACTGTTCCAGTAACACGTCTGAGGGCAGACACGTGCTAATCCCCTCGCGGCCTTCCGCCGTGGTAACTGCCCCGTTTCCTAATCCTTGGGGGTGCGGATAATCTCCCAAGGCTAGCCACGCTCCAGGGGTGTCGCCAGGAAGGCGACAGCCTGCTACTTCCTTGAATCAATCACAGGAAATAGCTTTTACCCCCTAATCTCAAAGAGACTTTGTACAAACAAAATCTAAGTGACCCAATGTGCTCACTTAATTATTTAAGTAGCAAGTCGATATTTCTCATTAGCTTCATCTTACAGACTCAGGCACAATAATGAAGGCAAGGTTATTTTTAACCCTGCAGGGCAAGAGATGAGCCAGAGAATACAAGGCCAGATTGCTATCGCTTAACAAAGGCGAGAAAGGATTCAAACAGCCCCAGAAAATAAATCAGAGCCACACTTAGTGCCAAGATCCAAAGAAAAAAATTTATTTACAATAGAGAATTTTATTGGAAACATGCATTTTCTTAAACAAATCAGCAAATGCAGATCAAGTTTACGCTCTTTAAGGCAAGAGTCCCTGTGCAAGCTGTACAAGTTCATATGAAATCCAGAAGCCGCTCACCCTGGGAACTCAGGTGCAAAGGGCAAGGTCAAGGTCAGCGATGTGTCTTTCATTAGAGAATCAGACAATCTCCCTGATACAGGAACTCTGAGGTCAACTTGCTATGAATTATACTAGGAAAATGCAAACCAATAGCAAGAAATTCTGATGGTCTCCCTAGTACTGCATACAATCAAATCAACTTTATTTGGAAAGGAAATACAGTAGTGCATACGCAAAAGTGAGACACCCTGTCCTCACAGCGGGGTGGGCAGCAGTGTGCCGACGGTCATATTGCACGCAACGGTCAAGTTCAGACGTGTGGTTCAAAGTTAGCTTTTCCCCATTTTGGCAATCAGTTCATCACAGATCTTGGTGAGTTCTTCTATCTCTTTGTTCTGGAAGAAGAGGAGAGAGGCTGCTGAAATCTCTTGGTGGTTTGAATTAAGCCAATTGAAATGGTCATTTGGTGTCGGGTCCTCCAGAACACTTGGCACCTCTGAAATGCTCTAAAGCAGCGAGACACGTGACCTAGAGATGAGCGATCTAAATCTATACCCCACCTCTTGCTGTGTGACCTTGGGCAAGTCACACAGCCTCTCTGAGCTTTGCTTTCATTATCGCTAAAATGTAGATGTTAACGTTTGTCTCTAGGACTAAACGAGGGATGTAACGCCCACAAGCACAGTGACCAGCACACAGTGAAGGGCTCACGAGCACCGGCTCCCTCCACAGCCCCCATCTCGCACTTCCCCTCATCAGGGATGGCCTGGTGGGGCAGGACCGAGACCCCTGGGTCCCAGGGCTCAAGGGCCTTGGAGGGAGAGACGTGGCCATCCCGGGTCAGTGCAGCCAGCCACGCTGGAGCCCGCTGGGAGCAGGCCAGGCCGCGGCCCACTGGGTGTTGCGGGTAGCGGAGACCACACAGACACACTGGCCTCCCGGCCCCTCCCCCCACGTTGCCCACCAGGGTTCCTAGATCCAGTAGGTGAACTGAGCAATGTCTGGAAACAGCTGGGGCGCCTGGCCCTCACCACCCACACTCTTCAGACGACCTCCGCCCCCCGCACAAGGGGCTCTCGCTCAGACACGCAGGGGTGGGAGGTCCCAGAAGACTGAGCGCCAGCTGGAAACCAGGCCTGGCGGAGGCTGAGGGGCCTCGCGAGCTCTCCAGTCCTGCTGCCCCTGGCCAGGCTGCAATCTGCAGTCGGCTGTCTCTGCTGGGGCCCTGGCAGGACCCCCCAGCCCCCGCAGGCTAGAGGCAGGATAACGTGTATGTGTCTGACACACAGTGGAGGCCTCATGGGTACTTGAATATGGACAAGGAATGAAAAGCAGCGGCGAGCACCCAGCCAGGAGGCTCGTGTCGGGGCTGGCACTAAACTGCCTCTTCCGACAGGCGTCTTTGGGGGGCTGCCGTGCGAGCCGGGGAGCCCGGACCCCGCCACGCCGTTACCTTCTGCTCCAACGTCCTCTCCAGCGCGTCCACCCGCAGCTGCTCCTTCCGCAGGCTGGCCTGGTAGGCCGCCTGTTCCTGCTGGGCCTTGCCTCGGACCTGGGCTATCTCGGCGTTGGCCCTGGGCAGATGGGGCGGGGGTGAGGGGCGCTCAGAACCGGTCGGCATCTCCTAGGCGCTCTCCTCCCACCCTGGCCGGGGGGAGCCGTCTGGGTCCAGCGCCCACCGACAGGGGCCTGAATACAGGGGCCCATGAGAACCCCACCCCCAAGGTGCACTGAGGGCTGCCCTGGAAATGGCAACATGCACCCCTCACTTATCAAAACGAATGCCAATCGGGAGCACGTGCTCATTGGACCAAAGAAGCACAGCACGTCATCCGCCCATCCGGAAACAGCCTGGGCCCTGGGGGCTCCCGATGCCCTCGCCCGTGGGGCCCCGGTTACCTGTCCAGCTTCTCTTCTGCGTGCACCTTCAGGGCCTGGTACCTCTGTTCCTCCTTCTTCACCCGGGACAGGTACTCCTGTGCGCACTTCTTCAACACCTCTTCATTCTGACCACGCAGGACGGGGTGGAAACCACAGAGGACGTGCTGAGTGTCGGGAACCCCCAGGCCTCTGATGCAGAGGCGCCCCACTTCTCAGCTAGTGGAGACGGGCGTCAGCCCCGCCCAGCCCGCCCCTGCTCTCCAGTCCCCATCTCCAGAGACCCGCGGGGTCCTCACCTTGCGGAATCCTTCCAGAACCTCCTTCATCTTCTCGTATCTCCTGAAGAGGTCGGCCAGGGACTTCTCCACGGAGTTGAGGTCGGCCAGCGCTTGCTCCTTCTCCAGAACCAGCTGCTGGACCGTCTGGTGGGAGACGGATTTCTCCCTCTGTTCATCCTCTGGCGGGAGACACAGCAAAGCCACACCCGTGGAGCGCAGGCCGGTCCAGGGCGAGAGCCGCCTCTCGCGGACGGGTGAGGCGTTTCAGACTCGCCCGGCCCCCCACCCCCACCCCGACTCTGCAGGACCTACAGCCACATCCCACACCTGGAGGGACACCAGCGAGTGCTTCCACCTGCCCCTGCAGCCGACCCCAGCGATTCTATGCGGCTTGACAGGAGGAATCTCCACTACTGACTTGGGCTGAACAACACTGGAGAGTGGGTGGCCGGGCAGGGGGCGGGGACCCTTTCCAGGACTCAAGACAAAGAGATGACCACGGGGGAAGGAAACGGCTTCTTCATTCTTAAACCCAAAGCAGCGTAACTGCCGTCCTGATGCTACTGCACAGCAGGGACGTCACACCGAGGAAAATGCAGCTGTTTCTGCGCAAGCGAGTTTTTCAGTCCCTATGAAGGGTGAAGCCCTGCCGGCCACAGTGGCCACTCTGTCCGGCACCCCGCCTCCTGGCGGCCCCCAGGGGCCACAGCCCGTTCCCTCCCTAGGGCTGGGGGGGCCACCTGGCCTTGCCGGAGGCGGCCTCCCGGCGGCCCCCCGGGGCCACAGGCGCCACTTTCTCTGATCTTTCTGGAACCCTGGTGACAGTGGTGCGTGGGGGAGGGGAGGAGCTCCACAGACGCCTTCCTCCGCTCAGTGCCCCGGGGCACGATGCCCGCTGGCTGCAGTGCCCAGGGGTGCTGGCCGCAGGACGGAGCCCGTGGGAAGTGGCACCCGCCGGCGAGAGCAGCGGTCTGGGCTGCGGGGATGGGGCGCTCGAACGCGGGCGGGCCCCAGCAGCCAGACTGCCCCGAGCAGGTCTCTCCTGCTCAGGGAAGTCTCCAAGGAGAGCCCAGGCACCTTCCCCTCACACCTCTGCCCCCCATGGCAGCCCCCGCCCCCAGGCTCGGCCCTGCTGTGCTGCTTGTGGGGAACACCCAGAGCTCCCCTCGGCCAGAGGCACCTTCCCTGGGCGCCGGCTCTGGGTTCTTGCCCTCAGGTTCCTGGGACACGGCCACCCCCGTAAACCTCAAGTGAGGCAGGTCAGGGCCGGCCGCGGCTCCGGCTCCGGCTGTTAAACTCGCTCACGAGTCCCGACTCTTGGGGCCCCAGACGCTCACCCCTGAGCAGCGTGAGCGTGTACCCGACTCTGGGGGTGGGGTTGGAGTGGGGGGCGTTGCTCGAATACCGCCTGCACCCGCCCGGGAGGTTCTCGGTCAGTACGAGAGCCCCTCATCTGCGCCAAGCTGCGCCCTGGGACGGGCCGCTTCCCTCAGACCCTGCCTCACGCAGCCACTGCTCCTGGGTGGGGGAAGGGCCAGGTGCCGGCGTCTGCCTGCCAGGTTCAAATCCTGGCGCTGCGCTTCGCGGCTGTGACTTGGGCTGGGGTGTCTCAGTCTTGTTCCCCGAGTGGGACGAGCACAGACCATGCAGGGCCCGCTTGAGGATGCATGAAAAACCCTAAACGTAGTAACAAGCTGTGAGGGGGAAGATGTCCTAAAGGAACTCTGCAGAGTCTTGTGGGCCCCACCCCTACTCCAGCTTTCTGGACTCCATGCCTGCTCCAGTGATTGGAAACTACAACTCCCAGCAGCACCAGGGACAGAACTGTCAGGACCAGGGGCGGAGCTAAGCAGCATTCTGGGACCTTGGGGATAAATAGGGCGCGATTTTCAATGGCTCTGGTGGGGAGAGGCAACTGCTCTCTGGCTCTCTCTGACCGTGGGACTAGGGGCTATCAGTTGGTTTGTTCCCACAGCTCCAAGTCAGCCAAGCCGCTAAGATATTCCAGTTAGCTTGTATCTCTCTCTTTCCCTGGGTTGCTCCTTTTCTTTTCCCTTTTTGTAAATAAACCCATTATTGACCCTTTCCTGTGTGCCTGCAGCACCACTGAATTTTAAGCGCACGGGGGTGGCCCCCCAGACAGGCGGCCCAATTCCCACTGGGTGACCCTGTAACAAAGCCAGTGTCAGAGACCCACTGTCTACAGCCTTGCTGGCACCCCCAAATTGGCGCCACAAGGGGTTGCCTCTGGCACAGCCGGCAGGAACTGCCAGCAGGTAGCGCTCTGGCTGCTTCAGACCCCGAACAGCAGGCGCTGTGCTGCATCCCGTAAGCGGGAACCACAGCCCGTCTCGGCCTGCACGGTGGCTCCCCCGGGCCTCGCACACGGTGTGGGGCACATCCCTGGCCTCTGGCAGGCCATGGCCACGTGTCGCAGGGCTCAGGAAAGGAGCACCGTCCACCTGCTTCCCGCATCTGAGACCGGCCTGCCCCGGGTCTCCTCCCCATCTGCTCCATCTAAAAATACCACTTCCGGCCCTCCCTGGTGGCGCAGCAGGTTAAAGCACAGCACTGAGAAGCTAAAGCCGCTTCCGCATGAGTTCGATCCCCGCCTGCCACGGAGGTGACCACATGGCGCGGCAGACCTCTCCTGACCCGCCCTCTGCTCCCCTCAGCAGTGGACTTCGTCACTCTGCCTGTTCTGCTCCCCGCTCTGTCTCTGGTGAAGCCTCTCGCCGCCCCTGTGCCTCTGGCCTGTACCCCAATTCTGTATGAACAAATAAATAAATCTTTAAAAAAATAAAAAATAAAAATACCACTTCCCAGAACACCAGGAGGCAAGAACACCTCAGAATTCTTATTGTAAACCATGAAGGCAGAGAGCGCCTGCAAATCAGGAAATCGGCCGCAAACCAACAAAACAATGGCACTGGACTCGCCAGCTTTTCCAGGCAAAACACCGGCCAACCTCGGGGGATGCAGCACAGAAAGCAAAAGTAACAAAAATCAAAAAACCAAACAAACGAGGGTTGCAGTGGGTCAAACCAGGGGGAAAGCATCTACTTACCAGGCTTGCCTGTGTGTTTTGCAAGCAAAGGGGAAAAGCAACAGAAAATGGAAGCAAAACAGATCATCAGGGCAGTGTTAGGAAAGCAGAAAAAAACAATCGCAACAGCCTAGAATGCAGAAGCAAAGGGGGCCTTGTGTTCCCAGTTCCCGCTCGACACTTGAGCCTAATGAAACAGGTTCTGTCAGTAACACGTCACGGGGACTGTCGAGGCGGCCAGGCTGGCGTGGGGCGGTTGCGAAGGCTTAAGGGAAGCCAGAGCCTGGAGGGCGGGCAGGGCCAGGGCTGGTCTGGACTTCACCAGGCGGGCACTCTCTCTGGTCCCGCCGGCCCAGGGCCTTGGGGTGGGGTGGGGGAATGAAAGGCAGCACACGGGGAGCAGGCGGGAAGCTGGGTGTGACGCCACATAGTGGGGTCCCTTGCCACCATGGGAGGCTTATCTGGCCAGGCCTCAGCCCCGCCTGGTTGCTGGCCGGGACACCGGGACTTGGGGTCTGTGTGGCCCTGGCCACGACTGAGGAGTGACGTTGGTCGGCGGCCACGTCGGGCGCCCGTCTGATGAGAAGAGCTGGCAGCTGGGTGAAGAGGAGGACAGCGAGCTGCGTGTGAGTGTCGGGAGAGGCCCCGCAGGTCACCTGAGTGAGGACGCTGCTTCCAGCCAGGGACGCTGCGGGGGGCGTCCCAGAGCCACCGGGGCACTCCATCGTCCAAGAGGGGCTCACAGATCTTACAGAGGGCACCCCCAGCTCATGCACAGGGTCTCCTGGGGGTCCCTAAGGGAAAGGGGCAGGCCTGTTGGGGCAGAAGCAAGCACGTGGGGTGGGCAGTGCAGAGGTGCGCAGGTAGGTGTGGGGAAGGGGGTCAGGGGAGCCCCGGCGAGCGCCTGGGGCTGTGCAGCCATGATCCCTGGAGCCCGCTTTCCACAGGCTTCCCTGGGATTCTAAGTGTTGTTCTAACAGGTCTCACCTGGACACCCCGTGAGGCAGCCCCCGTGGGCCCCTGAGGACAGGCCTGGGGCCAACTAGAGAGGGGTGTCTGCTCGTGTGGAAACACCCTCCCAGCAATAAAGGATGGTCCGGCGGCCTTCTCTTGGGGCATGGGCCTTGCACCCCCATTTCAACACCTGACTAGCTGTCATCATCAAGGGCAAATGGCAAGCACATGACTGGTATGCAGAAGGAAGGTTCCAGATGGGCCCCGGGAGGCAGGGGGATGCTTCTTCCCCAAGGCTGCAGGAGGCCCAAGGGCCTGCTCAGTGGCCAGGCCCTGCGTGCTGAGGCAGAACTCCTCCCCGTGACTTTCACCAGCAGGCCCCGTTCCAAGAGATTGCCTTCTTGGTTTGTACTCTTGTTTTTTAACCTCATCCATATGTTTTCATAAAGCCTGACACCAATTTAATAAAGAGGTTTCATGTCATAGAAGCACACGCCGGAGGGGCCCATCCCTAGGAGCGCCAGGAGGCTTCTTCCCGGAACTCTGGGGAAACGGCCTTCGTGGTGACACGTCAAGGCCTGAGCTCTCTGAGCGAAAGCCTCAGCTCTCGTTTCCTCTCTGCGCCCCAGCTGGTCTCGTCTTTACTGGGATGAGATGCGTGGCGGCCACTGGCCGGCACAGCGCCCGCTGGGACACGCACTGCGGTGTGCTCAGACCTGGGGCTCTACTCTGTCTCCTTAAAAACAGAAAATAATAATGTAAAAACCTGGTATCGTGGGCCTGAGCCAATTTAGACGCAAGCACAGACGTGTCCCCTAGCGTCCTAATACCGTTTCGAAAAATGACCACTCGTGTGAACAGCTGGGCTTGGAACTTCTGCAAGATCATGTCTTACTACAGAAAGACAAAGAGCAAAGCCCTGTGTGTCTCAGCTGTGGTCTGAGGCCCTCTGCCACAGGTCGCGGCACTCTGTCCGTGCTGGCCGTCGGGGCGGCTGCATTGAGGGGTCTGAGGCGGTGGCCACAGCCGGGGGGCAGGCTGCGATGGTCGACAGCAGCCTCAGTCACAGAGGGGCGGGTGGGGGCTGCCTTGCCTGGACCCTCCGGAACACCCTGGCACCAGTCTAAGTGGAACTGGAATTTAGGAATTTGGTTCCCCATCTCTCCTGTGAGCAGAAAGCCCCCCCCACATCCAGGGCACCACCCAAGAGTCTCCTGCTTGAGGTGGTCAGATGGTGGCCGTGGCCTCCAACAGGCCCAAATGCTATGGGGCGTTCTGGCCCCTGGCAGGGGCCTCAGGGGGTCCCCAGGCTCGCTGCCCTAGGTGAAGCAGCTGCTTGGGTCCCTCGCTGAAGGAACCTGTGCTCTGAGGCGCCTTCTCCAAAGACCCCCGAAAGTCATGACACCCACCTATCATCTGAGCGATGGTCTTCTCATACTCAGCCACTATTTTCCTGCAAGAGAAGTAAAAACACATTGGCACCGTGCCACGGAGTGGGTTTTAATATCACAAGCGTCTTACTTGCCACGGTTGGCTCACTTCCACTTTCTTCTCCAACCTCAGACTTCTCTTAGCACGAATAGGGTCATTTTCCTAGTGGGTGATTCTGAACACACCACTCCCCTGTGGAAACCTTCCATGTTTTCCCGCCGCCCACTGAGAAAAGAACGTAAGCCAAACCCTCAGCTTGGCAGTCGCAGGCTTTGCAACCTGGCCTGATCTCCCTTCTTCCGTATCACCTTGTGAACACAGTGGTTCACTGGGGCTGAATGATTTCTTGTGTGCTCTGGGCTTGCTCATCCCACACCCTCGCCCATGATCCTTACTTCCCCTCTCTGCTCCTACTTCTCACAGTCTGTTTCTCAAGGTCCGATTCAAATGCCATCTCTTCCAGGAAGCCTTCCCTGATTTCTCCCTGGACAACTGAACTTCTTCCAAAACATGTCACACATATGACACCACAGTACTTGACTGGGAGTTCCCAAAGCCTATGGCCCTATTACTGCCTGTAGGCTTTGTTTCTATGTTACGGGGAGAAGTGGCACTTCACAGGTGGCCTCAAGGAATAGTTGCTGTAAAAACTCACTCAGAACCCCTGCTTATAAGATGGCTTCACCACTGCCCCCAGGTGGAAGGACCGAGGAGGGGAGAAGTCCTCCCTCCAAGGTCGGTCTTCTGGAAGGAACTTCTCTAAAACAACTTGGGGCTGCGTCTGTAGTATCTAATTATTGTTCTCCACGAGAGAACCAAGAGCTGCCAGCCAGCGGATCCGGGGTCCCGACGACAGTGGGCCTGCACCCCTAGCTGTGTAGCTGGGCGAGCTGGTGACTCGCGTGGGCTTTCTCCAGGTGTAGAGAGGACTACCCCAGACCCTGAGCCTCAGGGCTGTGGGAGGTATCAACTGAGGTGAAAGCGGACAGGGTAAGAGCGCCCTCTGCAAAGCCAAGGGTCTGCGGCTTCTGGCCGGGGCCCCCAAACCAGATCCTCTAGGCTCTCTCTGACTCCCACAGGGAAGGCACCGTACGAGGCTCTCTGAGGCCGCCCTCTCACCCATCAGCCCTGTGGGCCCCGCGCAGGGAGAAGCGTGCGCTGACGGGGTGCGGGGGACCCACCAGCGCCGCTGCATTTCCGCCCCATCCACAGGGTGTTGGGGTGCAGGGCCTTTCGGGAACCGTGAGGGTCCAGGGGCCGCAGAGGAGCAGAACCAGGACTGGCATTTGGGCACTGAACTCTGGGGTCACTGCTGTCACCCTCTGGCTGCCTGCAGGCACTGTGCTTTGCGCTTCACAGGGGTGAATGAGGCCCAGAGGCAGCACCCCCCCCCCAAGCAGCCTGGCTGCAGAGATCAGAGGGCCGCACTGGCTCTGGAAGCCCCTCCAGGGGCAAACAGCACCCCCCTGGAGGCTGGCACCCCAGGATGTCCTGCTCCCTATAGCCTCTTCCCTCCCCCAACTTCCACCCCCCCCCCAGAAGAGAGAACAGAGATTAAAAATAATGCAACTCTAGGGCCTCCGTTTGAATGTGAAGTAGCACCCTAAAATTAACCTCCCGAAGTGGTAAGAAAAACAGCAGCAGAAAGAACAAAGAAAAATTTTCAGGAAGAGACCACTTGACCTAGAAAATGGCACAGGACTGGAGAAATGGGGCGCCTGTTCCTTACAACAGTAGCCTGGGAAGCACTTGACTGAGGCTTGGCCAGAACCTGTGCTGCACTGTCCAGACGAGGGGCTTCGGCCCACTTTTAAAAAATCATCCGTTCTGCAAAAATAATGAACATCCATATACCAGAGACATTCTGTGGGGGTGGAGTGGGGAATGGGATCAAAAACGGGGGGGGGGGGG